TGAAAATTTAAATATGTCTTTTTATTTCTTCTTAAAAGGTGGAGGCATAGTAACAGTGGCTTTTTTGTTCTTACATTTGAAGTGAATATTCCTTATAGGATCAATTTGGACGTTATTTGAATCTTTGAAGGAGACGGAACGAATTGGTTCTCACAGGAAGAGGAAAGAATTATCATTTAATGGTTTATCACCATGTGATAATTAATGCAAGTTATCTCCCGCTTTCAACTGTTGTTCATGCCCTGGCATACCCTTCAAACTAGACAGTGATTCCTAAGCAAAAGAAAATTATACTCATCCCTTTCAGTAAAGACTCACTGTATAGCCTTCGTCCTTCTATGTGCAAAATTTTACTGCTCATACATCGTTAATAATATTTAGGGATATCTTATGGAACAATACTAACAAAGGTAAAAAAAAAAGTAGGAAAAATCCAAGATACGAACTTAAGGCGAATTCGCTAATAGCTAATGATCTATTTTCTACGATACACATATGATTAACCCCCATCCCATTAAAAAAAGAGAGACAAACATTGATGACCAAGGTAATAGTTTATCCACGGTAATTTTATAGACTTTAATCCATGTATTATTTACATTATACTCTTATATGACGTCTGTAGATAATGTATAATGATGAGGGGATTGAAATACGCCTGGAATCATCCAATCAAATTATTGTATATTGACCCAATCAGCATCGACATCTCAGCCAATCAAATGAATAAATACACCCTTTTTTTGTGCAAGTCAATGCTGGAGTTAAGTGGCTTGGTCTAGGTTAGATCTGGGATCTTTTCTTAATGTCTTAGTGAGTAGCTACAAATCATAGTGTCTAGGTGAAATACTAAATAGCTGTCTAGGTGAATAGCTACATATAGCTGTCTTAGTGAATAGCTACAAATCATAGTCTCTAGTTGTATAACTACAAATCATGGTATATAATCATATATATATATATATATATATATATATATATATATATATATATATATATATATATATATATATGCCAGGTGAACAGCTCCACATACAAGTCATAATGTCTAGGTGAATGCTACAAATATCTGTCAAGTGAACAGCTCCACATGTAAGTCATAGTATCTAGGTGAAATGCTACGTCAAATATCTGTTTGGTGAATATATAACCAGTTAGATTTTGGTTATAAAGTTATAAAAGTAATTCCTGGACTATATCCGTTGTTTAGCGTAAACGGGGAAGAAGGAAAGTTGGCGGGTAAAAAGTAGCGGCGCTGTGGGGCCGTAATACAATGCAAACGAGAAAGGTGCCGTATTCCTTATGGTCTTCCAATATAAAGTCCAAGAACTGGTAAAATTAAGTTTCCGAATTTATTATAGACGATGGTAAATAACAATCAACATAAATTTCAATAATAGCTTACAAGTCTTAACCGAGTTGGATGTGGCCGGTAGAGCATCGGGCCTCCAAACTGAAGAAGGTATAATGGACATAGCTTTTTGTAAGATAGAGAGTAAACAATAATTGAATTATGACACTAGCTGAGTTAATTGATAGACAGGTGTGTTTCTTTGATGGAATGGACATAAAAGACATTGCTAAATAATTATATAAACAAAGTTATTGATATTAGACTAACAGGTCCTGAGGCATTTACACCTAACGAGTATCAATTCTTTTGACACGTCACTTAAAGTCAATTGGAATGTCTTAATCCTGTTTCAAAGAGAATGAGATTCAATCAACTAAATAATATACACACAATGATAATAGATAGAGAATTTAACAGATAAATGTCCAAATTTAGTAAAATATGTTTAAAGAGTTATTTATTTCAAAAACGTTAATTTTGCTCGGTGATAATATCCTTCGGCCTCCGGGAAAACACGTCCTCGTGTTTTAGAAAGGAACACCCTCAATAAAATGGTGAGCACTGTTGGCACTGACAATGTCCGTGGAAGTTGTTGTACGCGGGGTAAGGGTTGGGTCCGTTTTGTCTCTCGTAATCAATAATGTCCTCTAACCTTTCGATTTCCTGATCTTGGTCGTCGATTTGATTCCGGAGGTTTTTGATTTCTTGAATTTGAGAGTCGATTGTGAAACGTAGGGAATTGATCTCTTGAATTTGACCCTCAACTTGGAAGCGAAGACTACTGATGTCGGCGTCTTGCTCCTCTGACCGAAACTGTTGTCTTCTCATGGTTTGATCTGCAGTGTATAGCTGTGTTGACAACTGTAAAATTTCCTCCGTTTGCTTCTGATTCTGTGCAGAAAGCTCTGATACACGGTCTGAAGTCATTTTATTGTTTTTATTTGCATTGTTTAGTTTTATCTTAAGATCGATTATTTCCTGCTTTAATTCCGGATTAGCTTTCTGTAGGTTTTGGATATTTGTTTCTAATTGCGAGACTTTTGCGGAACTTTCTTGTTGAACGGAGATGAGTTGTTCCTAATCAAAGTTTTGCTCGGTGGTTTGCACTTTCTGAAGCAGTTCCTTGATTCTGATTGTTGAGTTTTTAAGTTGTTCTTTTGTTCTTGAAATTTGACATCGAAGGGTAGAAGTAATGTCCACACATCTATGGAAGGCAGTTTGTCTGAGGTTGTAGAATGGTAATTCTCTCAAACATTGTTTTCTGTCCAGAAAATGACGAATTCTATTTGCGTCACGCAGTTTACTTGAATTTGACTTTTTAGGGGGAAATTGACAGGTTTTGGCATAGTGTCCATACTTTCCACAGTTATAACACACTGACGGAGATGGATGCTTAAAGGTGCAACTATATCGCGGCTGAATGGAATTTGTTGAAGTCCACGTTGGTCGAAAGTAGATGTCCATCGTGAGGTTTGTTGATGTTTGGGGAAATTAAACTCATGGGTAGAACACGTCGCTGGCGTAGTGAAAGGTACAACACAGAGGGGAACGTCCCGATTCTATCACCAATTATAACCAGTTAGATTTTGGTTATAAAAGTAATTCCTGGACTATATCCGTTGTTTAGCGTAAACGGGGAAGAAGGAATGTTGGCGGGTAAAAAGTAGCGGCGCTGTGGGGCCGTAATACAATGCAAACGAGAAAGGTGCCGTATTCCTTATGGTCTTCCAATATAAAGTCCAAGAACTGGTAAAATTAAGTTTCCGAATTTATTATAGACGATGGTGAATAACAATCAACATAAATTTCAAATAATAGCTTACAAGTCTTAACCGAGTTGGATGTGGCCGGTAGAGCATCGGGCCTCCAAACTGAAGAAGGTATAATGGACATAGCTTTTTGTAAGATAGAGAGTAAACAATAATTGAATTATGACACTAGCTGAGTTAATTGATAGACAGGTGTGTTTCTTTGATGGAATGGACATAAAAGACATTGCTAAATAATTATATAAACAAAGTTATTGATATTAGACTAACAGGTCCTGAGGCATTTACACCTAACGAGTATCAATTCTTTTGACACGTCACTTAAAGTCAATTGGAATGTCTTAATCCTGTTTCAAAGAGAATGAGATTCAATCAACTAAATAATATACACACAATGATAATAGATAGAGAATTTAACAGATAAATGTCCAAATTTAGTAAAATATGTTTAAAGAGTTATTTATTTCAAAAACGTTAATTTTGCTCGGTGATAAATAGCTACAAGTCATAAAGTGTATAGGTAAATAGCTACAAATATCAGTCTTATTGAATAGCTACAAATCATAGTGTATAGGTAATTTTTATCATTACATGTATGGGCTGTGACTGGAAAGAACTTACAGATTTTGTAGACCACTCCGTCTGCAGTTTCAGGAGTTGGTTTATAGTCAAACTTATTTGGGTGATTTTCTGGTTCTTTATTGTTTTGTTTCTTTTAAAATTAATATCCAGATAGGACCTAGGAAAAGTATTTCTATTTTGGGTTTGCCTACTCAGTTGCCTACTCCGTGTTTTTCTATCAGCGCCATTGTTTTCAGATCAATTTACCTGTTCTTAGAAAGAAAAACTAAAAGAACGCAACTTATAATGAATCATTTCACATAAAAATGTGCAATAAAATATCAACAAAACATTTTATTAATTTTAACATAGCCCAAGCTTGCATTCTAGCGTGAAAACCTAAAAAAATAAACAGGAAATGTGTGTTGGTTGTGATGTCTAAGAGACGAAAATAGCCCTTTTTTAATCAGTTTGTTATCTGTCATTCTTTATACAGTATACAAGTTCACGGGCTCATATTTTGGTAGATTTTCGAAAATTTGATTGTTATTACCTCAGCATCAATCGACTCAGATACTCCATGTATGCAGATACTCCATAACTGATAACTGTCAGACACCTATCATGTTGACAATTTGAATTTACTAAGTGGAGGTAAATACAAAATAGTTTTCTGTGAATTTCGCATTTACCCCCACCTAGTAAATTTAAAATTTACTACATGAAATACTTTACACGAAATATGTATACTTTTTTTGTAAAAGTACAAAGACGAGCTGTGATATTACACGCCTTACATTTTTTGAAAAATGAAATATCTCCCCAACTTTAAAGTCACGAATGCGGTGGGTCTTTTCTCGACTCTTCACGAAAACTCAATAACAGAAAATTAAACTGTGGCAGGCCTGTAGAAGGCGGAGGGGGGATGCAGGGGGCTGCCCCCTCCCCCACTTTTTTCTGAGTAAAGTATTTTGCTATAGTAAATTTACCCTCAAATATATAGATGATGGTTGCCCCCCCCCCCCCAACAACAACGTTTTGTGGCTGAAAGGTCTAGCACTTTTTTTTCCTTTTTTTATTATTTTATTTTATTTTTATTATATTTTGCTTTTCAGATTATTATGGGAAGTTGCCCCCCCCCTTTCCAATTTTTTGAACATTTTTTTTTTGTTTTTGCTTGTCAGATTGTTTTGGGAAGAGGTCCCCCCCCCCACTTTTGAAACCTTGCTACGAGCCTGTGTCTTTATTAAACAATATTGTATATATTCTATTAAAATTTGTTTCCCTGTTACAAATAAAATGGAAATATATGCGAATAGTGTTTCAGATTTTTATTAAATTCTCATTCAATGAGCCAAGATTCTTTTTATGTACATGTGCGCATTTCGACAATAAAATATAACACCATGTTTGATCTACTGGCTTTGGAAAACTGTCCTGTTTGCATTCTGATTATCACTCAGTAATTTAAAAATGATGAAAACCAACATGGTTACATGAACAAAATTGAAAGCAATGCAAGAACAAGTCAAGGCAGCAAATTCTCTTCTTTGGATGATGTTATTGGTACACACAGTAGAGGGAAAAACATGAATAAATTCATCAAATGCATGCATTCACGACATAACAGCCTCCTAATGTATGTGTCTAACAATAATTAGTAAGAAGCTTATCAAAGTAGATAATTAGTATGTCAATTGAAGAATTAAAATATTTTTCCCAGTTTTTGAGTTCCAGCTCTTATGTATAACAATTCAAAGAAAAAGTCACAAGACAAATTGAGTGATTAGTAAGATTTTTCAAATGCTGAAAAGTTTTTTAATCATGAAAATTACTGTTAATGAACAAAACATGGTGTTTATAAAAATCGTCATGGACACAAATGATTTCCTTGTGTTTTGCTATATTTTCAATGTATCACTTGTACATAACGATATTAATACCAAAAGCACCAAAATAACAAAATATCTTTACAAAAACAAAATATCACAGTCGTCATCTCATGGACCATTGAGAACATTGAGTCCACAATCAACAAATATATACCATACAACTTGTTCAACTTGTGCGAAAATGCAAGTAGATTTCATTTGACCAAAGAGAATAATGACATGTAATATACATGATACAAGATGCTAATTCATGTACATGCTATAGTTGTCAAGTTGTTGATATATTAGCACATGTTTAACAAGTGATTGTCTAAGCAAATCAATATCACAGGGCAAATGGCACTTTGGAATACACAACCACGGATGTCAATTAACGCCTAGTTATCGGCAGAGTAATTAACCGTTATTAACCGCCAGACATCTCTCCTAACTAAGTTATTTCAGGGGTAATGTGGAACAGGTGATGCTCTGAATTGCAGGTATTCAAGTGACGTCTGTTGCGGTTGCTGCGAACCTGTTGTAAAGCTCTGCAGAATGTTGCAGTACTATTTTTTTCTGTTAGCTTCATATTTAATCAGAAAAAAAGCTGCAATGATCATCTATTTCAATGAGCATTTTCTGATTGCAGCAAATAGAGCTATCGTTACTCTTTGTTGGCCCCTGCAACATGGGACTTTCTTTCTGCACAAAGCAAAATAAGAGGCAGCAATTGCTCAGTTCTGAATTTGCTCTGGTATAATCTTTTTCATACTAGATGTTTAATCATAATATTAGGCAAGGCGTTTCTTCTCTTTCTCCATGATCCCAAGTCAAGCGTCTGCTGTTTTACATTCTGCAGCCATAGTTTGAAAAGATTTGAGTCTTCACACTGTAAAAAGAAGAATTAACGCTTATCATATTTCTTCCAGGCTATTTGATATTTTTCTTGCTTCTATGGAAAAGTCATCAATAACTGATATACAATAATCAATGAAAAATAATTATTTACGTACCTTAAATAAGCAAGACTCTTTGTTGAGCTCCATAACTTCAAAAACATCTTCCAAGTCTTTGTCAACATTGATGACACAGCGATTCAGTAAAAATGGTTCCTGAAAAAATAGTAGTCAAAGTCTATGTAAAAATAAATCCAAGATATGACAATTCTTTTTTATAAAATCAAAATGCATCTTCTCATCTCAAATTTTACAAAGATTATTACAGTCCAATTCCATTGTTACATTGCTTTTCTTTTCCACTTTTTTTTATTCTAGAATCTTAAAAATTAATATATTCTCTCAAAACATAACAACGTGTAATTTCCATGAATTTCTCTCCTGTAATTATTTTCAACAAGTATGAAGGCATGTGAAGATAAGAACTAATTCGTGTTCAAAATTATGTCCACTTACTCGAAAAGTTTGAAATTTTCCATTTTTCTCCTTGATCAGAACTATGGCTGCTTGAATCACCTGGCTTCTCCTTGGAAACAACAGACATTCCTCTTCCGCATGAAGAAGTTCTCCCTGCAAAACAAATAGAATATATTGTAAGTCTCCATATTTGCAATTGTTTATCTTAGTCTTTCAATGCTGCATGCATAATTATTATGTCTATTATCTTTTTGTGAATGATAAAGTTAGAAATTTGAAAAACAGAATTTAGAAAATGAATTAAAATGCTAATTAATGGAACTATTTTGCATAATTGATAAAGCATACAAAAGATAGAAAGGATTAATTTTTTTTTCAACAACTAAGTTTGTTATTAATTTTTCTAAATAATTGAATTGTTTCTAACTTTTTTTTTTTTTTTTTGCCAATTAGAAAATGTCCAGACAAAATTCTCAAAGGGTTTCCGATGAAAAAATAGTAGCTTTTTGAGTGTAATCGTATTAGTAGATAAAGATATTGAAGAAAATTAAATTTTAAAAAAAGCTTAAAAATTCCAAGAACTTATTTAAAAGCTAAATATGTAAAATTTACCATGTCCTCCTCATTTTCCTATTATAAAACATTGGATCTATTTTTTAAATATTCAAGATGTTGCTGAAATATTGTTGTTAACAAACAAGAACCTACAATTTATTACAAATAACAGAACATTACACTGTTATATACCTGTCCAAGTGTCAACAGCACAGCGTGAACGGAAGTAAATTTGATGTTGCGCAGGCGCTTTGTTGCCCAATTCTGATCATTTAATAATGGCGCCACCTGCATCTGACTAGTCAATATGTCACAGATGTCATGTTTGTGCCATCCTAATACTTCCATGGCAACCTAATAAAATAAATCTTTTTTTTAAATAAAGCAGATTTTTTTTCTTTGGTCAGCAGCACCTTCATCTTTATTTCAATCATCGTTTTGATCAAAACACTAGACTTACCCTCGTTACTTCTATTTTCTCTGTCACTGTGTATTTCTTGTCCGCAGATTTCCTCTTCGCTAATCTAACTTGACTGGCTGTTCGTGTTCTCTGCAAAATCAATAAAAATAAACTTCAATAACTATACACAAAATGTCACCAAGTCCGCAGAAGGAAAAAAAGAAAATTAAACCTTTTTAATATAGAATACATGAAATCATACCGAGTTGATATGTTCTAAGATTTTCTCAATTTTATTTTTGGCACTAAGTATTGCTTCTTTGTCAGAATGATTTGGAGATGTTGCCCGGTATAAGCGTTCCAACAATAATGGATACCTGCAAAAAATCATAACAATGTTATTTCAAAGTTGGATCATCCTTTAAAAAAACATTCAGAAAATATTTTAAACCTAGTTATTTAATATACTTGAAAAATTTTGTGAGGCATCAAAGTGTAAAATTCCCAAAAATGAACTTACTTCATAATTCTTTGCACAGGGACCATCAAGAAAGACTTTAAATGCATTCTCCTCAGAATTGGCTGTTCATCTTGGCAAACCTTTAGAAAAATTCTCAGAATATCCTTTTCTCTTTCAAGTTGTTCCAGCAAAATCGTTGCCTGGCTCTGAAAATTACAGCAGAAATTCTTTTTAATTAACTCCACATTTTATAAATAAAATCGTTAGAACCCAATTTGGATAAATATATCATTCGTAAGTAAAGGTATATATATGCTTCATTAAAATTACTGCACCTGTCCATCATTAATACCCGTAAAGGTAACTAATCAATTAATATGAGATATTATTTCTTATTTGATGTCCCAGTATTTTCTGGTTAACCATTATGATACCGACGTTTTTACATGATTACAGTATTATGCCCTTCTCGTATGAGACAAACTGAGATATCATCTTGGTCCTCGCAATAATACGACATATTGATACATCGCTTCGTGATCTCTCTGACGCACTCATATCACCCCTCACACATCAATAAATGAAATACCCTCACATATGTTCTATAATCTCTCTCAAGCTCGGAATCAATTGTTTTAGTCTGACATGTCTTAATGAAATTCGACTTGGCTATTCACTAAACTGTTAGCATGGTCTTATCAGTAAAGCGCAGTGACGTCAGCACTGCCTGTCGGAAGTGGAGGGACATCTCACTCTAAGGCAACAATTCTGCACTTTTTAATCAAACTTTTGTCCATGGCCAATTGACCTTTTGGACAGTCGGAAATATTTCTGTGATAACATCTTTTGGGCGTTAATATGACGGCGTAATTAAGCCCATGGTCTACATCGTGTGATAATAAATCTCAAAAGTCGGACATAATTGATCGACCTACTGTCTAATAAGATTCGAATTGGAATGCAAGATGACAGATTGTTTCAAGTACCATAAAAAAACCCCGACACATCCGGAAGCAGTGGGAAAAATCTAATCATTATGAAATCAATACCTGGTTCACACAGTAGTGCTCGAATGTGTAGATGAGGTTGGTTGATTTCAGGAATAGGTCGCCGATGACAACTTTTGTAAGGAGCTGTAACAAGCAAAAGCCAAGAGCTAATGAGAAACACAAAAGCTGCTTTTCTCACACGTTACAATAAACAAAAACTAATTTAATTCTGAAACCTGATAGGTAGCTCTATATCTCATTACCAGTTATTATTACATTTTCTTATGAAATGTCACACATTCAGAGAACACAGTAAATGACTGGTACAGTACAAATCGGCTTTACCTCGTCGCCTGCTTCTAGGGCGGCCTCTACAGCTTGCTGAAGACGATCCGTAAATTGTTTGTTGACCTCAATTAGATCTTCCAAGTTTTGAAAGATGTCTTCTAGTTGTTCAGACGTCAACAAACCGTTGTTTTTCATAGGCTTGTAAAACTCCTGTAAATTGATTGCTGATTAATGTATAGAAGCACACTGCATCGCAAGTAAACAGAATTGACAGTCATCATTCGACCTTGACTTTGAACAAATGGCCTCAAAATATATGTGTGCAGTGCACACTGAAATTAATTCATGTTTGTGTACTGATTTAAAGTGTGTTCATGATTAATGAAACAATTTTAACCTTGACCTTTTACAGACTGACCTTAAACCTAATGATATCGCGTATATTTCAACTAAAAATAGTTAGAAACCAACGATCACAAATAGATTCTAAATTAATAAGAGAATAATTTGAATAGGGTAGACCATTTAATATTCTTTAGCACATAATGGCCTTCTTATATTCCTTTTAGGTATGCTCTTGCAATAGGACAAAACTTAGAAATAAATGGCACATTGCTTTCTACGTTTTTCAAAACTAGTTAACTATAAAAGTTACAAGATCTCAGGTAAATAGCGTTACAGTTTATCCCCCAAATTCATCACAGAGCTTTAAAGATTATTTTTAAAGAAGAATAAATTGTTTTACAACGTACTATTTAAATTCTCTTTAAAAAATGTAAAGAAACTCAGTTATACGTACCTCCTTTAAAATTTTCAGGTCTCTTCCATAATTTATTTCAGTGTCTCGTATCTCCAAAATGGTTTCTTTGCGTTCTTTTTCGTGCTTTTCTTGATTATATTCTGAGTCTCCAAAACTCTTTTCGTCCACATCAGTGCACGTTTGTCCCTGTAAAATTATTTAATAAATGTGTTTAATAGTTCTTTGAAAATCGTTTAAATGTGTGCACATTGAAATTTTTGCAAATAAAGAAAAACGCAGTTGGTTAAATTCATTTATAAGCATTTTTAAAAAAATTATTATTATATAGAATACTGATCTGTGAAACAATTACGCAGGTGAAACATTCCTCTTATTAAAAAAAGTCCTTCATTCATTTTTTTTCTTGTAATATTATATGAGCTTTTTAAAACTCAACATATGAAGATAATGATCCAGCAGGAGAACAACGTACCACGTCAAAAAAACTTAGCACCATTTTTGTATAAAGAAATCCTATGCACAGAGAGCACAAAATAAAGCAAGCCCTCTGCGTGAGTAGTGTTTACTCCTATAGTGTAATGGACATTGTTTAGCAAGACATCGTAGTCATGTCATGTTATAGCGAGAGATTGTAATCAATATGCATTTTTCTAGCTTTTTGATTGGCTGACGCTTGTCCAATCTGATAATATTACCGCGGTGAGTGTTTGTCTACCTCAGATGAAGAAAAGTGTTTTATTCAGTTTACATTCCATTCTTGGAAGCGAGTTCACTTTTATCCGGATTTTAATTATCTGCAAAACACTCTTTATACAAGTATTTGTGGCATTTTCACGCATCGTTTGTTATGCAAATGAAAGCTCCTTTTGGAAATTATTTTAATTTAAACATCACATGCAGCTTTTAACTACTTCCTTATTCTATTGCCCTATTTCAAATCAAAGTTTCAATTATCTGTTTATCTTATTCATCAAATCTCAAAAATATAAATTTGCACTATCCGCGCCCAGTATCCAAATTTATCTTTAACACTTTTCTTTTGATGTCTTGTTCGCTTGACCGTTTCAACTAAAAAACATTTTTGTATCAGCGACGATTACGACAATTCTTACAGCCATAAGAATTGTAATTATGGCTTTACATGTAACAGTGATATGGCATTCCATATAAACTCAGATACATATACATAAACTCAGAAAGATTACCAGTCTCTTTAATTCTTCGGTTTCAAATATTATCCAATGAACATTCGTTTATTTGTTTAAGAATTAACAAACGGCTGCACAGACCTAGAAATTCTGAAAGGTCAAAGAAAGAAAAGTTATCAAAATGTGCCAACCTCCGAGCCCCCGAACAAGCTTGTCTGACTGAAGATACTGCTGGAGGGACTCGGTGGGGCATCTGGAATACTGTCTGGACCGATGACGCCGCTGTCCGTGCTGACGTCACTAATGTTACTCAGTCTGTGGTTGATGTTTCGAAACTGATCGGCTCCAAACAGATTCTAAGAACAGGAACAATGATATTTATAACTTACTTACAAACTTAATAAACATGTATTGACTTCATCTATTATTCATCTTCTCAATCTGGATAAAAGGTAAAATACTGATGATTTGATGTAATAAACAGTTGTTGAAGTAGATATATAATTATGCTCCAAGAACATACGGCACAAAGGCATGTTTTTTGTAATATATATATTGTATATTATAATATATAAATATTGCATGTAGTTGAGTGTAACATTGAAAATTTTCACCCCAAGAAAACCATTGTCAACCGAGGCGCAGCCGAGGTTGACAATGGTTTTCGAGGGGTGAAAATTTTCAATGTTACACTCAACTACATGCAATATTTATTATATTATACTGAATGTTTTATATAAATACATATAACAGTGAACCTTGCGCGCATAAATTCTGCGCAGTCGCTATTTTTTGGAATAACACCCGTCGCCAAGCAATGTTAACTGTTGCTACGCTGGTGGGCGTGGCTTCATTATTCAGCGGGTAATAGTGTTTTTTAACAAATGTTTCTCGACGAATCAGATTCAATTCATTTACATGAAAGTATAATATCAATATATATTATAACTGATTTTTACACAATGTTACACAATGTTACCAGTTTTAGAAAATACCAAGGAAAAACAGATGCTGTTTCGTAATACATACAATGTAATCAAATGTCAATCTTTATTAAATATTACTGTTAAGATCGATATGCGAATGCTCATTTTCTTAAGAATTGATCAGATTATGTTTTATCTATAAACTGTGTATTCCGCAATAGGACTCTGTGGGATTTATTTTGTATAGTGTTTTTTTTTTCTGTCGGCCTAATTTCATTCTTCTTGTTGTTTTCATATGTACTAAGTTTCATAGGTGGTTTCTGATCTTTTTTAAGGTTTGGGTGTTTGACCTATAAATTAGTATACATTTTTAATAGCAGTAAAATGTATGTACCCTTTCTTCTTCAACATCCTCTAATGACAAATCGTCTCTGTCGTCAGGGCAATCCTCTTCCTTCGATGACAAGAAGTTATTCCTCAAAGCATCTAAAAGAGAACAAGAATTTTTCGAATAGACATTTCAAAGAACGTTCATACATATATGTACTGCTTTTCTGCTGGGGCTGATTGCTGACTGAACCCCTCACAAAAAAATTGAAATTGCTTTTTTGTGTACTACATGTATGTATATATATATATATATATATATATATATATATATATATATATATATATATATATATATATATATATATATATATATATATATATATATATATATATATGCTATGCGAGTGCGTTTTTTTTTTTTGGTTGTAATTTTTGCTGTTATTTAGTATACTGAATTGATTTTTCTAGTGCGAGTCAAAAACTTATTTATTTTTCTTTGATTTTTTAAAATTTATTATTTTTATTTTTATTTTATTGTATTAAGTTAATTTTTTTTAATATTAAACTGACTTCAGAGTTTTTCTAGTCTTACCCCATTTTTAGAGTTAGTCATTTAAGTTATATACATGCATACTGCAAGTTTACCATTGTTGATTACTAAATGATCAGAGAATTTCAATACAATTATCATGCAACGTCGTACTGATAATAAAATGAAACTTTATGAATTAGTAACAACACCAGTTTAAGGAATGGCTTGGGAACTAGTTTACACGATTAGTGCAAGAGAACTGAGACCAAAAAGATAACATTTTGTCAAATTGTGTAAACAAAGAAACCTCCCACTTGTCGACCTTGTCAAGAAATGGTTGCCTTATAACAAAGCAGCGTTTCGTGCTTATATAATTTGTTTGTCCATAAAACTGTAATTTCGGTACCAAAATTTTGGTTTGAGAAAAATTGACAAAACAGTAGTTCATGGCTATAGAGAGGGAAATTACAAAATTATTACGAGTAACTCGGCAAAATGTTATCTGTCAAATGGTCGCGTTAAACATTTAGCTCACGAAATATTTCTATCTGACAAGGGATTCATTTAATGTCGGAGAAGACTTTCAACATGTAATATTTCCGGGAAAAATTAAATCAGACAAATTATTTCACTGCTTAATTTTGTCTGTTATGGTCCCTTATTATTGATATGAATTAAATGACAAACCCTCCAGACGTAAACAAATTGTAAATTGCTTTAAGGGCAAGGGCACGATTGCTTAAAATAAATTCCATCAATTGGAATCATGTGTTGCGTTGGTAGTTTCTACAATACTCTCCTGCTTTGGATATTGTGTTTCCAGGGTTAGAAACTCCCTAAAATTACAACTTGCAAATAATTGCGAGTACCAAGAAAGTGAACTCGCAATTTTATAAGACTACTCGCAATTTTCATGTTAAATTAAATTTATATAAATTAAATGCATGTAACTTAAGGAAAAAGTAACTACTGTACAATACACAAAATACAACTACAGTGTGACTTTTATTTAAATTACTGATTTAAATCAAAAGCATTGTGTTCTGTCATATTATATAATTTTGCAACAGTTTCAATGCAAAAAAATCAACTCGCAAGTTTTTGCGAGTTACCTAATTTTTAACTCGCAATTTGGGAATTCTAGCTCGCGTTTTGCGAGTTGTATATAGTGAATTTCGAACCCTGCAGTTTCTTGTATGATTGTAAAACTCAAAACCTTTAAAATCATGCATTTGCACCTCCCCCCCCCCCACCCCTCCGCTCCTTTGGGGATATAAAAATAGCGAACAATTTAGCAGAAGCAGTACATGCACTCAAAAACACCATGTTTTTGTAATGTATGTTTGATTTATGTTTTGCTATACTCCTACGAATGTAATGTAATGTGGTAATTCCATAATTTTCCCTAGTATAACTGAGGAAAATGACCTGTATTAGTCCTTATGAGATGTTATTAAGTAGGGAAATACCTAGAACTTAATTAATATAATTCTACAATTTGCAGATAGTTAAGCCCCACACCGATACATTTTTCCTATAGACAATGCTAGCACGTGTATAGGAATGTTTCTCATTATATCGTGAAATATCTTAATTAAATAACCCATTCCTTGGATGCAGGGTTATTCTTTCCAAGTAAGCAAAGGAAAATACAGCATCGCTGTAAAAAAAAAACTAACACTAACATTAAATCTTATCATCATAAAGTAAATTTGAGAATTAATACAAAAAAGGTGTATTCTTTATTTTACTTTCAAGCTGAATTTATGCTGAAATTGTTTATATGGTAGCATCCCTTTTTTGAGTTCCTTAGTATTTTTATGCTGTGATTCACCAATGATAAATAACATGCATGCTTAAAGAACAATTGATAGAAATTAAGTATATATGGACATATTTTAATTAAAGTTAGCAGTTTCCTCTTCTTTTTATTTTCTAAACTTAATTGTTACAGATAGGTTTCCTCATCTTTTAATGTTTTATTGTTTTAATGTTTTGGGACAGTCGACTGTATGTTGACTGGAATAGAGTCTTTGAATGGATCACTCAAGTTTTGGGTCAATTTTGTAGGAATCAACTTCTTATATTTAGAACAGCTCTTTATCTCTCAACTGAGATGTTGATGACTTACTTAAGTTTGAGGTCAACTTTGTAGTGACCACCTTCTTACTTATTTGGAATAGCCTGTTATCTCTCAAGTGAGTTGTTGATCATTTACTTAAGTATGGGGTCAACTTTGTAGGGGTCACATACTAACATTTGGAATAGCTTGTTATCTCTCAACTGAGTTGTTGATCACTTAAGCTTTGGGTCAACTTCTTAGAGATCATCCATTTATATTTAGAATAACTTGTTATCTCTCAACTGAGTTGTTGTTCACTTACTTAAGTTTTGGGTCAACTTGTTATCTGCTAAGTGGATGGAGCCATTGAAGGGATCACTTTTATAAGGTCGTTGTTTTCTTTCTCGTCTTTTTCTTTGAGAATCTGTGGTAACGTCAGATGTCGACCGAGAAATCAATAACTGTTAAAGAAGTAGATAGTTAAGGCAGTGAAAAGTAAGGAAAAAGAGATGATTGTGTAATCAAAATGAACTTTCAAGTAAAGATATTTTAAATTAAATATGGATATTTACAGGAAACGAATTTATGAGCCTGACTTCCTATTTTATTAACAGTCAGTTTTCATTGTTTTATGTAGGTTACTGTGTTCAATAGAAGAAGAGAATATATTTATGTCAAATCTCATGCATATATTGATATTGCTGATGAAAATATTTATGTATGGAAGTTTACCTTCGAATCTATTTGAATCGACCTAGTCTCCTGAATGTGTATCTTTTCGTGTTCACCAGTGTATAAGTCAATCTCTGAACCAGGGTTAGAGCTGTCTGTAGATGGGAAACTGAAGGAGACTAGATCGCTGGGACTATTTGGGAATGAGAATGTCCCCGGGGAGAAGGGACTGAAGTTGTTGACACTGAACACTTCACAACTGACGGACCTGTTAAGTGGCAGGTGTACAGGAGGAGGCTTCTTCTCAATTTTCTTGACACTAGTATTTGTCGCATTGTCAACAGACTGAGATGCACAGAGCTTAGGCCACGTCCTAACGGTCGAAAGACCTGTGTTTACGGTAAAATTGATTTCTTCTGTTTTGTTTTTACGTTGCTTGGTTGGCAGTTTGCGTTTTCGTGTTGCTCGAAGAATTCTTCGACCAGGAACACCGTCACTTCTTTCTTGTTGGGAATTCCTGTTAGATGTCTCGTTACCTTCAGGACAAACAGATGTTTTCGAGTTCATTGCACTCTCAGTTTTAGAAAGCAAATCATCTTTTGAACTGGATATTTTCTTTCTAATACAACAACCACAATGGTTCTCTGTTCTACAGTTACTCTGGGAGTCTTTTGCGTGATCATCATCCTCCTCTGTGTCCGTAGCCTGCGCTTGTAATTCCACATCCGTTGAAAATATGTTTAAAGTAGCATACACAGTATTTCCATCTGTAGATAGTTCAAGGGGGTCAACATCTTCAGTAAAAGACTTCGAAGAGTTTGATCTAAAATCTTTCTGTTTTGTTTTCATACTTTTAGAACGTCTTGGCGAACATATTGAAACTTCGGGAGATCTTGCACAAAAGGATTCACTAGATTTTAATCTTTCCTTCCTGGTGACTAATTTCGACAAATGATTGTCGTCAATTCTTTGGTTTCCGTCGGTCTTCTCATTAGATTCATGGACATCAAAACCTTGCTGACTAGATACATGCGCAATATTTGATAATGTTAAATTTTCTATATTTGGCAATTTTCTGTGAACTCTTTCTTGTGGTTCCTGTTTTATCTTTTGGAAACCCTGTTCTGTCCTCACATCTTCTGCTTCTACTTTTGCAGTTTCAACACTTTTATTCATTACTTGGGATTCTTTGGAGACAACCTGCGATTGTTCTTCATTACCCTTGAAGGTTTCACCAGAAGACAGGTTTCTTTGCGTAGTTTCAGGTTCTTTTGGAACCGGTTCCTTTGGCAACCGTCGAGAGGAAGTCACTGTAGGAAAACACTTGATGTCCAGGTTCTTTATAAACGAATGAGGAATGTTTTCTTTATTTCGTAATACGTCTTTCACAAATTCTTGTCCCTTTTTCAGTTTTTCTTTTCTGGAGCGTTTGAATTCTTCGAAACTTGGCATCATGAACTTTGAACGTCTCGATTTATTTCGAACATTTGTCTTTTCCTCGTTTATTTTCAAGGCTTGCTGAAGATCATTAAAATTGGGATCACTGGTTCCTGTAAGCGAAAGTGATCTTTTTGCCCTAATAGCCGCAGGATTTTGGGAATGTAAAGAACATAAACCGTCTACGTCTTCTCCAGTAACATCGTTTTCTTTATTGTCTTCTTTTCCCAATTTTGAAGAACTATTCATATCTTCAGCTGAATGTAATTCCTCCTCAAGATCAATTTTGGAAAGGTCAAGGTTAGAAAACGCTTTCTTTAAAGTTCCTCTGCTCCGTCCTTGTCTTTGAGCCAATTTTTCGAGTAAATTCCCATGTCTACTGAGATATTTTTTAAACAATTCATTGTTTAACATCAGTTCCACACGAGGAGATACGGTAACCTTCGTTAGATCACCCTTAACGGGAGAATCAACCGATGCATTATCACATTCTTGCATCGGACGATGTTTTCCTGCTGGCGGTTTTCCAAGAACTCTTGGAGGGTCTCGAATATCTCGATCTGAATCCCCCACTTCACTCATTGTCTCCGAATTCTGCTCTAGATGACCTTGGGACGTTTGTGAACTGACCATAGCGAGGCTACAGTCTTTTATCATGCAAAGCCTGGTGAAGTTAGTCTTTTATTATCTCCCGTTATGGCCATTTCCTGGAAAACAAAATACGATTTGATCACATATTGAAACTCATTGATTTCTTTCTACATTATACAAAAGCTTCAACAACAATTACAAGATTTCCCGTATCTTTAGACAATGCAAATGGTAACCTGGGTATATCGACTGGGATACACATGGAAAATAATGTAGAAGATAAATTACTACAAAAGTAAATATTTAAATAATTCATTCAAAATCTGTGCTACACGGAAATGAAATACTGGACTTTAAATGCGTAGCTACAGAAAAATGAAAAACTTTTTTTTTTAATTTTTAACTACATCCGAAAATTTCCTCTATTTGAAATAATGTGAAGTACTGGTATACTCCATATTGATAAAAACAAATGAACTAATTGCAACAGTTTCTATGAAGGAAATGCGAACAAACGTTTTCAAGAACTACTGGATTAAAATCAAGTATACATCACTCTTTTTGAAGTAAACCGCCGTTTATTGACCGCAAAATAAAAAGTAAGGGTGTATCCCCTTGTTGTTGCTCTCTGACCACGCTTATATCAAATTAGCAAAATCGTCATTTTTGAACAAAGATTCCTGCCATGTTCACTATGTGGAAATTTGATCCTCTGTCCAATTAACGCAGATAATCAAAAATCTTGAGAAATAAAGTTGAACTTTAAACATGGGTGTCCATTACCAGATCTTTTGTAACCGTGATATATAATATTTCTTACCATTATTACGGAATGCACAATAATACCGCGAAAGTAGGTCCAAATTATGAATAACAAACCCGTAATGTTACGATACATTTTATATCAAAAAGACCATTCCACTGGTTGAATACTGAAGAACAAATATCTCCAAAATGTTTAAGTACTTTACTTTTAAACATAAAATACTTTCGTTATCAATTAAAAAAAAAGATATTTCGCTAGCCTACGCAGGTGAAGATAAGATAGGGTCTGTTAATTTCAGCAGGTAAAATGATAATTTACAGGTAGTGTGTTTTTAAGTTTGCCGATATTATTGAGAAATATTTGAGTTATTTTCATAGACTCTTATCCATCTAAATTATCTAAATAATTTCACTGCATTTAAAAGTCCACACAAATAAAGAATGAAAATATTTTCCAGTTAAGATCCCACCTGTAAATTCTTGGTATACCTCTACACCCTGGCAAAAATCCATCTCGAGTTAGAATTATTGATATTCACTCGAAATGCATTATCATAGTGTATGATACTCCATATAAGCATTAGAAAAAAAAAGAACACTTGAAATACATGTAGATATTAGTTGCAATATGTACATCAAAGGTTTTTTTTTTACTTCAAAACCATAAAACGTCAAATGAAAAAAACTACTAAATTTTTAGTCTTACCAGCTTGAAAAGGGATTTAATTCAACCAATGAGCGGATTAACTCCCTTAGTGGTTTACCGGTAATATGATCAAATACATTAAGTGTCGCATTAGTCTTCTAGTCCTTTTGTTGTGTGCATACCTTCATATAAATATTGAATAGAAGGTTTATCTTCACTATAATTTCCAACACAAACATATATCTCGGAGTGTTGAAATTGACGAAATTTTAATGTCAAATTCTAAATTTAGAAAACTTAGCACATTTTTGAACCTAAAACATCCAGGCATCTAGGTGCAATTTTATTATGTTCTACTTTTTAAGCAACAAAATTCAGATACAGATATAAGATACCTGTGTATTAATCTATAAGTGCAGTCGAATGGTTGAAAAAATAAAGCGGCAAAAAGCAAAGGTTATCATATTAATCGCTCTAGAACATTTTATGAAGTGCTTATCTTTTTCACACCAAAAATATCTAGTGCACTTCTTTTTTTCACTATGTGTTTTCGAATTCCAGTTTTATTACACGTACATATACCGTCTGTAACTTTCAGGGATTCGCTTCATAATTAATTGGATTTGAGAATAAAAGTTCAATATATTTGAAATACAAACACGCAAAACCTCTCTGTTTAAATATTGTTTTACTTTAGACAAATATTTACTGGGTGAAATAAGGTTGAAGATATTGATTACTTCAATTAGAATTCTCGGAGTTCGAAAGTGAAACCAGAGCTCTATTTTAGTTAATCAGGCTATGCATGTAAAAATGCATTCATCAAAGCTTTTTTGCACCATTTCATGTCTTTGGGGGTGGGGGGAGGGGGCCTTATTGAAAGATTTTATTTTATCAAATTAACTCTGCAATATGATTTTTTTTTTGTAGTCATAATGCATATTTTATTTGAATAATTCTGAGAGAAAAAAGAGTACTGATGCGTTGAAAGATGAAAGCAGACAAAATTCTATACTATCAGAACTTTTATGACCCAGAGAAATACGAGCCCGATTTCCATTAATGATTGCATTGACTGGCTATATGGCCGTTTGCTTTGGGAAATCGGAGTTGTTTATCGCTTGAAACACTGCATAGCAAGATTTAAAGCAATCTAAGGTTGCAACTTTTGTATGATCCCCGTCATTCAATTCATCCGATTGACTATGAGGTGTGTGAGGGATGTGTTCGATAAGTCAAGCACTCTTTGACTTCTTTTTTTCGTTAGGGAAAAAAAAATCCCAGACGGCGCTCCCATGTTTGTTTATGACTTCCGGTACAGTGTTTTGAAATGTTAGGTATAATAATGATTTATGACATTAAAAATTAATTAAAAGTAAGATTTACAACAACATGTTTATTTCTGTAATAAAAAATTAATTGATAACTTTTGTTTTGAGGGTTAAGAAACACCATTTAATAGAACATGAGGTTATACACATTCTTGTCTGAAAGCATTTGTATTTCACAAGGTGCGGTAAACTTTTAATGGTTTAAAACATGTTAACAAACATGTTATTGTAAAGATTATGCCAATGTGGATAAAAATATACAACTTATAAAGACAATTTTGAATCATTTTAAAGTAGTCTTGTAACAGAAAACATGACCATTAATCAATAGTAAAGTAAAAGTGCTAAGAGAATCATTTACATTTTAGCTATATTGTAAGTACTGATGTCAAATTTTCTATCACTAAGTGAAAATTATTTCTAGTAAGGGGTATGGCACTTACTTACAATGCAGTAATCAATTACAGCGTAAACTTGTCATTAGTGGTGAGTTTCTATACAATGTACAATGTAAACATGTCACCAGTGGTGTGAAATTGTCAAGTAATCATTTTTAGTGTAAACTTGTAATTACTGGTTAGATTTTATGCAATTGAATGTAAATTTGTCACTAGTGATTTGAAGTTGTCCAGTAATTATGCGTGGTACTGGTGGTGTAAATGGTATAGTTATCATTTCTAATGTAAACATGTAACAAATGTTGTAATTCTATACAATGTAAACTTGACGCTGTTAAATTGTCTAGCAATCTTTTACAATGTAAATATGTCACTATTAATGTATATTCCTTTTTATTATAAACATGTGCATGTCAATATTGTGTAAAATTATTCAGTAATCATTAACCATGTCACTAGTGGGGTTAATTTTTACAATGTAAACATTCCAGTAGCGGTGTGAAATTGTTCAGTAATCATTTACAGTGTAAACATGACACTAGTGGAGTGATTCTTTACAATGTGAATATTTCAATAGTAGTGTAATTATTTACAATGTAAACATTCCACTGATGGTGTGAAATTGCCCATTAATTCATTACAGAGTAAACATGTCTTTGTTATAGTTTGAATCTTTACAATGTAAACCTCTCAGTAGTAGTGTAATTCTTTACAATGTAAACTTGTTACTGATATTGTGTAGTTTTCCAGTAACCATATCATTAAAAGTTTATTTCTTTTTTTACTATTAATGTAACATGTCACTCATGATGGGAATTTGTCCACTGATAGTTTACAATGTAAACATGCCACTAGCTAATGAAGTCATTCTTCCCAATGTAACATGTCTCACGTGGTGTAAAGTTCTCCTGTATTTATTTACATGGTCCTGTATATTGTAGTATATCTTCTCAGTAATAAAACAGCCTACTTTTATGTAACGAACTTTATCATTTATTGATATCTATGAAAAACACTTATGGTTTCTGATATAAAAATGGTACAGTATTTACCATGGCTTTAATTTCAAATCTATCTTTTTTTTCACTTTGTATAATTTGTATATTTATCAATATCATCAGATCAGTAGTGGATTTTTTTTGTAATCCTATACATGATCTGCCTTGTTGATCGATTATCTTTTAAGTTTTTTCATGATCTGCATTGCTGAAAAAATCTGTTAAATTCTATGTGACAGTGTAATACATTTCTGTAGAGCTACTTTCCCCACTATGAACAACAGAGGCAAATAAATACCCGAAAAATTTGTTCTATCTCTTCACAACTAAATTGTGCTTATAGTGCATGATATTGATCTTCCTTAAAACAAGCAATTCCCCAAATGAAAAATAAAAACATCAGCAATCTTACTAATAGGGTACGTTTCCTAATGATGGGAGCTTTAATTCCTTCTTGACTGTCAAAAAAGAAGTGGAATGGATTGATAAATGTTGCAATTCAAACCTTAATAGTCATTGTCACGTTGGAATGCATGTGCTTTACTGTAATTCAAATAAATATAAATTTATGCAAAGATGCAATTATATTTTAAAAGACTTGAAATGAATTAGAACTTGCTTTTATGAAACATTTGTTTTTTGTTTAAGTTGCAGTGAAATATTTCTTAAGAGCATAAGATATTCATGTACAATGTACATATCAGAATATCACTTCTGGACACTATTAATGACTGAATTTACTAGGAATTTTATTGAATTCTGTCAATAAGCCATCGAGATATGCAGAGATAGAGGGATTGCCTCAAGTTGCTGCTGTGTGCCAATTAATGTGATTTCAATTAAATGTCCGTGAACATCTAACGGAAGTGTTCTATTGGAGAAAAAAAATGAAATATGTCGTTTGGGAGAACTCAGTCAAGAGCTTACGTAAACTCAAACTGTCCTTGACCTTGAATGGAGGGATGCTTGAGGATTAACAAGGAAACAGATATGTGATTAACATTTACAATGGGAATCAGGTAGCAATTATTTGGTTAATTATCTTCCGCAAACAATTTTTCAACACACTTTGTCAATCTAACCTCCACTCTGTCCCGTGGATTACATCACCACGATTCCATAACAGCGTTGCGATATTGGAGATTTGGAAAATTATCTACAAATTGGCTACTAAAGGTTTTATTCTAATAAAACGTCTCTTCAAAATAAAACCATTACACCGGACATCCGGCAAAAAAAAAAATCTTAGTGTTATTGCAAAGTTGGGATCAACTTATTAGTGGCATTATTGAACTCGTGCTTGTGGTTGTCTGTAACTGCCTCTGAAATAAGGAACAAGGTTTTCATTCAGAATGAAAAATTACCGCAGTTTAATTACAATCGGAAATGAATTAATACAACATTCCGTCAGTCTTTCAGTGTACGTGGCTTTGGAACGCATGCGCAGCCAAACATGTATCTATCGAATTTTTCAGATTTTGTTTTCAAACTTTAAGACTCCCAAAACACGTTTGTTTTTCGAACGTACATGTAACAGCTCTGTCTGGTCTACAAAAGAACTTACCAAAAAATGAAATTTTACTTTTCTAATTTAATTTATCCTTTATGTTGATTCGATTGGATGAGATTTCAATATGGATATAAAGAATTCAATCCTGTTATTTAATACAAATATAACCTCACAAAAAAATTTATTTAATTTTTGAAGTTTTAAAATTATGTTATATTTTAAGCCTTAGTAGTGAGAGGGCCCTGAATACTCATTTTCGCGTTCTAAGAGCTAAGTCCAATTTGTAATTCGTCAAGACCAGTGGATATACAACAAATAATGCGGAAATGGACAATAGACTAGTAACAAGAACTTTATCTAAAAATAGGAATTCAACAATCCACTGTGCACAGTGGCTTATATAACAAAAGAATTAAAATAATGCAGATTTATTGTCCAGTTTATTTTAAGCATTATTCAAAATGGAGCATGTATGATGTATTATGTTATCTATTAAGAGATTTTTTTTTAATATGGTGTATTAATTGAATAACTGCGGATGAATAGAATCTTAAGATTCTATAAATACGTACATGTAACGGTATATTTTAAAATATTGAGGTCTTTCTATATAGATGAAATTTGATGACCTATTTTCAAATATAATGAACGGATGAACAATTTTCAAAGTCGTTTCAATGTCATGTTAAAAATAAATTACTTTTTCTGTGTATTATATCATATTTCATAGACAGATCATCTGAGTTTGTAGGTCAAACAATCTTCTTCAATTGTCATTAAAATTTGTCATTAAAATTTGTGGAAACGCAATTTAATTCAATCTTGCGTAATTTTGTTTCATCCATTATTTTTTTTTTTTTCGAAAATCTAAATTTAATGATTCACTATGTTTTCGTGACAAAACTAATTAAAGAAGCGAGATCGATCTTCCGAACTCCGAATTAGACCGTTTTATTTTCTGTATTGATTGGAGTTAAAAGTTTTCCAACGAATTCTATGCTAAAAATCGACTTTTTTTCCTTCAAAGTTATTCTCCCAATATTCCACTGTTGCTAAATTTCCAAAGTTATTGAGGCTGTAAAAAAATCTAGGTCATCTAGCTACCATTTGACCTCCATAAAAGTCACTGTCCTACTTTTTTCACTTACATGCATAATGTCGATAAATTATGCACGTGCAAAATTGTTCCTTCGGCAAGAGGACAACAATTTTAACACACTTAATTGGCTATAAGGAACTCGGAGTGTAATGAATATTTCATAACAAGTAATTATTTGGGATTTAGAAAACCCCATTTCTTTGGAGATACGAGTAATTGATTTCCCAAGGTTTAACACAATGCTTAAGTAGAAGACGTCATATTGGAGAAATGACAATAATTTAGTTTAAATGTGCTAATTTGGTAAAATGTGCATTATCTGGTTTCAAGGTGCTAAGATCGTATTTTAAAGTTATGGATTAATAATTACGGCTCTGGTTTTCGAAAAAAATATATACAGTTATCTGCAAAGGAAAAAAATTAAGAAAGCTGGTCTACAAAAGACAGACTGATAAAAAGGAAACGTATCGTCATCTCTCTTCTTGTTTTTAAGGTCTTGTTTTAAGGTCTTGAATCATGTTTTCAAAGTATCTGTATCAATCAAACTTAGAAAAACAGTTAAATACACTCGTTTTTAAAGAAAATTTCAAAAGTTCCAAATAAGAATATTCAACAAATGTAAAAGAGAAATCTGGTTACTAGTCCTTCAAAATGTCCTCTGGCTAATATCTTTTTATGGATCAAAAACCACAATAAAGACATGCAAGACTTGTAAAGTATGATGCTTGTTCAAATAGTTATCATTATGAATGACTTGGCTTTAGACCAGGCTTCAGTTTAAAAGGATAAATCAAACAAACTTTTAACTACTTTAAAAGTTTTTTTTCTAGAAACTGAGAGAGTTATTACACATCTGATTTGAACCTTGCTATGTGTCCAAGAACTCTGCTATGATCACGTGACCATTTGGAGTACCAATCCAGAGAACCGGTTTTTCGTATTGCTCGTCTATAGCCAGAACATTAATGCCCGAAATTCCAGGGCCTTCAAGTGTAAAACGCTTCAGCACGCGTCCTTTGACGTTTGTGACGTGTATAGTAAGCGGTACAAACTCAAGCGGACAAACTGCGCTTAATAGATTATCGTTCATGTCTACTATCAATGATTTCCCCTCCCAGTCTTCTTCAGGTTGGAGTCTCGTACATGATTTCCCGGACTCTTCCACGACTATCAGATGTTTATTGTCAACAACACATACGACTCCATTTGATGTCTCTGTGACATACTTCGGAGCTGAAAACATCGGTTGTCCGGCTGAGTCTAAACATATTTCTTTCAACAGCATTCCGTTGTCGGAAAAGACGGCAATCTTTCCAGGGGATTCTGATTTCTGGAGGCATACGAACAGTTTGTTGTCTTTGTTTATGTGGAGTCCAAATGTTCTGTATGGTGCCAAGTTCTCAAATTCTGTTATAGTGTGGTCTGGTTTTATAACATGTATTTCAGATGAACCACTAGAACAGTAGAGTTGACCAAACCTGTTTACCGTGGTAAAGGTTGGGAGAAATTTAACAACAAATTCATCATGAATATGCCCCGACCTCAGCACCAGATATACTCGGTAATTGTATGTCGTCACCCAGGCCTTGCCGTCAGGTCGGAGCTGTATACTGTAAATACTAGAGTTGCCCTTCTCCGGTTTGAATTTTAGTTCAAATTCGAGCTCGTTTCTGTAGAGCTTCTTCTGACCCGAGCCAAATCTACCATCTTCCACTAGCGTTCCTATCACGGATCGTAAATCCTCTTTTCCAGTTCTTATTTTCAAGGGCTTTGGGAGATCGTTGATTGATTGGCTTGAAACTTTCATCTCAGTCAACTTTGGCAGATTGTCTTTTACAAACTGCTCGATAGTTTCGTCATCAGCCTCTTTTAGACTTGCTAGCACCTGTCGGATGTATTTTATCTGCTTTACGTGTTTCTCCTTCGATGTTTGATTTTCCTTTAAAATATTTTCAATTGTAGTTTTGTCGATGACAAATTTGTTGTCAACTTCTTGTAGCATTTCTTTCTCAATGTTTTCCAGATTTTCCCTTAATTTCTGAGCCATCTCTGATATCTCTGCTTTATTTTCAGTCACGGCTTTACCGTATTCTTTTTGATAATTATCAAATTCGCCAACAATGTTATCAAATGTACGCAATTCTTTTTCCTTCTCGTCTAATTTTTCAATAATTTCCACTATTTTCGGGTGAATTTTGCGTTCTTCGATGGCAGTTGTTTTTCCCGCGTCACTTTCTACCAGTGCAATATTCTGACCATCACTTCTTGAATACGACTCAAGCAGTGTTACAATCGTGTGGTTTTTCGTTCCTGCGAGTTTAAGATGATAGGAATGGCACGGATCACATAATTTTTGATGACAGTCCATGCATTTCCAATTCGCTATAGAATCCATTTCACAAAGATCACAATTAACAGGCGCTTGAGCGCCACCATTCTCCATTTTGCATAGAATCCCCTAGGAACTTCCGTGTTGATTTGTCAACTTTTGTTGACACGCTGCGTAGACATTCCTATATAGGGCAGGCTTGTCATCATTGTTTTTTTTAATGAAGCACATTCGTCCTGTTGATAAAAAGTGTCTTTGTCCGATTATCACCTGCCCAAATGACTACATCCGGAGAATTTACTAACGCCAGAATTCTTGTAACGGTCGGACCGTCCTACATATCTACTCTACTCAGGTCCATTTCACTTTATCTGACCTACTTTTGACCGGATACCATTGTGCGAATGAAGTATTTACTCTCGAGATATATAGTTTGGTTTACCTCTGAGTCATTATTTATTTTTAGAACAAATTTATAATATAAATTTATATACAGTAACACAAACTGCTGATTCTTCAGTTTAGCATTTGGATCTAATCATTTGCAAATCATCATCGATTACTAGCATCATTTATGACATAAGAGACCCCCGGACCTATTTATAATTTCCATAGTCATTTTTTACAATTTTAATGTGAGATAACGGTCAAAATTATTTACAACTCTAATTTTTCCGGCAATCATAAATAATGGCGGGTACAGTGCAATCATTTATTTTTTATATAATGAAAAATGAATCATTTGACACATTTTTTTTTTGTTTAATTGTACATTTAAAAATACAATGAGCGAAATTTGTTCTTATGTTTTAAAGTATATAAAAAAAATCTGATGTTCATAATTTGATCAATAAATCGAATATCGCTCGATTACAATTCTGTAATATCATACTTTCAGGTAAATTAGTTGAATCTGATTTGTTTAAAAACTCTAGTACTCTCTGAATGATGAAACCACGCCCTCCAGCGTAGCAACAGCTAGTCAACATTGTTGGCTGAGCAGATTATGAGAACTGTAATATGTATTTCTATGAAACATTCAGTATAATAGAATAAATATTGCATGCAATTGAGGTAACTGTATAGATACTGTATATAGTTGAGAGTAACGGTATATAAATACTGCATATGTAATTGAGGAAAACACTATATGAATATCGCATGTAGTTGAGGGTAACACTATATAAATATTGCATGTAGTTGAGGGTAACATTGAAAATGTTCACCCCAAGACACCCTCGGTTGACAATGGTTTTCTTGGGGTGAAAATTTTCAGCATAACCCTCAGCTCTGTGCAATATTTATACTAATCTAGAATGATTTTTACTGATATTTTTAGTTGGCAGTGACTTCTGAATATCTACAGCCATGGTTTGTTGCATCATCAACATTGTTGGATCAAAAAGACAAGAATGTCCTCATACGTCATGTTGAGAAAGCAACTGTAGACAACGCGCAAAAAATTGTTCACTTTTACAGAAAGTTTATTCCTCTTCAAAACTTCAATTCGATAAAATATCATTCAGTTTGTCTTCTCTTATACTTTTCATAACATCTTATGCGAGTTCGTATCTGTATACAGTGAACGTTCGATTGATTTTCTTTGACAAATTAGTTTGCATCAAATATTCGTCCACAAACATTATTCTTCAGCTGCAGTAAATTTGTTGTAATTAACAGACAGTCTGCCTTGAAATGACAAAGCACATTAAATTGAATCATTATTAAGATCTAATAGTGCAATAAGTTTGTATAATAACCCTGGTATCTAGAATTCATTCAACTTTGTAGAATCCAAAAAATCATGGCAGTATCGGTGACAATATAAGTTCTGAGCAGAAACAAAATTTTCTCAGTCGCAAATGAACCAAGGAGTTGAGACTTTATCGAAATATGCTAGGCTAGCTTTAAATTTGAGAACGTTAATACATTTAAAGTGCATTTATATATATATATATATATATATATATATATATATATATATATATTATAAGCAACCTTTAGAAAAGGTTTTAATTTTAATTTTAAAATGGTTTTCAATTTAATTTAAATGGATACATTGCTTCAATATATGCCATATGAAAAATAATAAACTCCATCCATAAAAAAATGAAAATTTTATTTAAAAAAAAAGTTTTCTGAACAGAAAAAACAGCAACAGAAAACATATTTAGCGTATAAGGTAATTTGACATCTTAAAGTCTGATCATGATTTGATTTGTTTTCTCCTTTTTCGAATTTGAAATGAATTTGAGGAAGAGTAAATCGTGTACCTTTCGGGTATTTTTCGCTTTATCTTGAGCAAATAACTCCTCTCTTTCTATTCAAATCTATTCATGCTCATATAAACTTATTTTCTTTCCTAATTTCGGGATAAGTGTAGCCTGGTACATAGGAAGCTTAAAAACGGATTCACTTTTGGCTAATACCATTAAAAGGGTAATGAAAAGTCGAATTTACCAAAAAACAGTGGGCATTTAAAACAAGTCCGTGTGAATGTTCTTTTGTTTACAATGCTTACAACTTAATCTGGATTCTTATTAAAAATGGGTTAATGGTTTAAACACATGCTTGGACACGGATCTATATGAAACCTCTGGATTCACTTGATTTAGTCAATGAAAACAAAAGGTGTCATGTGTCCTGCTTTGTTTCTGCATGCCCTAAAAACGTGTTGAAGTCTTCCAACAAAATAAAACCGCGAAAGTCTTAGAGGACAAACTAGTTATCAGAATACCCAAACAGTTTATGGCTATTTCGTAAAGCACAAAGCTGTAAACACAAGAGAGAGAGAGAGAATAAATGAATGAATGATGAATGAATGAATGAATGGGTAGTAATAACAATAGTATCTCCGGGTGACAAAAATCAATATGAACAAAGACTTTAACACTTCTATATCAGAACAACTGATAATTATTTTTTTTTCCTTTGAAAGACGGAGCTAGGAGGAATTTGGCATAGAGTTCATGTATATATATTTTTCTTAATAATTGCGAACACTGGTAGATAAAATAGGCTTACGAAGTGTTTATCTTTGTTCTTCTTTAAAATCTAACAACCTACAAGTTTGCAACTCTATAGAACAAAAGAGTTTTGTATTATTTGCCTAGACTATAGAGTATATTGATATACATCGCGGTGGCTATTAATTATTTCTTAACAGTGTGATTTAAAAAAAAATCAATATACACCATCGAGGCCATTTTTGTGTATTGTAGATAATAATGTTCTTTCAGGTGAATTCTAGATTAGGAATAAAGTAAATATTGGAGGATTAATCCACTGCATGGCACTGTGTTCAAAGAACAATATTGCAATAACCATAAAAGATAAACCGAAGGACCCTGTTGATATCGTCTTATCGTAACAAGACAGTAGTGCAAAATGCCAAGAGCAGCTCATTTTTTTTTTTTTTGGTGAAAATACACAAGATTTTTCAACATTAAAGTGGTAACTTTAAATTTTTCCTATGATGTTACTGTATATTTCATTTTCATTGGAAACCTACATTGTAGGATTATGGAATTAAGCATTGCGTGTTAATTCGAATAGGTTGATAGGTGCTCAGAGTGATGAATTCGTCTTTACATCTTCGCAAATCTCTCTTTGTCTAATCTTTTAACCAATCGTGTTACTTAATCCATTCAACATATTTATCAATCTTTAGTTCCTTTATACACGGGTACGTGTACCTCTTGTAAGGCTCTGAACATGCTCGACCCATTGCACGCTAAACTTTTTTTTTTTACATGTATCTCAGTTATTACTGTCCCTATGAAGTCTTCTATCGAATTGAAGGTCACACCTCATCAAAATGTGCTAGCGCCTCAACAGTGATTATAGAATTTAGGTTGCCATTACTTATATGTATATACATGTACAGTATATAGATATACATGTTAAAGATGTAATATTTAATCCGGACTCGTGCATGAGTTATAGACCGAGCATGTGGCAAATTTGATACGATTTTCACAGGATTTTTACATCAGGGAGGTAAATTTCACTGTCACAAACTACGTACTTGAAAACAATGACCAGCTTATTAATTTTGCAGGGAGCTGTATTGGAGTCATCGTTCATAGAAGTATCGAGTTCAGCACACGAAACAATTATCCATATACATTATAGAAGATCATTTTTACCGTACATCAATAAAAAAAAACATTTACCGTCCTTTCTTGCTTTATAACAGCATCAGTCAAAATTCATTATTTGCATGAAATTGCTTTTATCATTTGTTATAGAGTAACACTAGTGCAACTATTGTTTCCTTCAAGGTTCTCCAATATAAATTATATATATAATTATATAGATAGATCTAGTTCAGGCATATTATTTTACGACATATATAGTACACTGTAGGTATTGATCAGTTTATTTGATACATTTTGAGATAAAGTTAACAACACGTGAATCCAAGAATCGTGTTTGAAAATCGCATGATTATGGGCATCATATCACGTGACCGAGTTCTTGAGGAAGGATTACATCAATTCTTCGAATTCTGTAATTCAAAATGTGTAAAATGTTGCAAATTTATCAATGGAGACACGCAATTTGACTAACAGCAACCAAGTCTTGGTGCTAATAAACTGTGTAAGACCTGCATAATCTGGTTATTTCAAAAGTTTGGGATATCACTTAGGGTCTCTGATGGTACAAATGACATGGAAGATGTAGGGTTTGTAATCAGGATCTAAGTGAGGCGATGATTGATGATTAGGCCATTCCAATCTAAGAGTACACGTATATCCCTCTCCTGTCATTGTTTTCTCTATGAATTACATTGCAGAACTTAAGCTTCATTCAAACAACTTCTGTAAGGGTCTCTTTTTGAGAAAAGAATATCATGACCAGATTACAATCACAAAGCACGAATTAAAATCTTTAACAGCTGATTACAATCAGTAAAGTAATATATACATAAATGTTTCAAAGTTCAAATCTGAGAATAATATCAACTAGCTACTCGAGCATGAACAGTATTTTTTTCGGTTATTGTCACGCTAATGGGCCAATCCTATACTTTCGTTTCCATTTTCAGAAATCCTTGTCCATTAGCATTAGAATGAAAATTATCAAAAACTTCTCCGTCAAAGTTTTCCCTATTTTAATGTACTCATTTACGAAAGTGCTTTGCGTTATCGGGTTCTCTGAGCTTACACACTAAATCTAATCCCGTAAAGGCAGGTCGACAATAGAGAAGTGCTATGGGCCAGTATGAGGTGTTAAGGGCGAAATTTATGAAAATTGATTTGTAACTTCAGACTCCGCAAAATTACACTAGATAAAAAGTGGAGAGTATTTGATTGATGGGGATTATGTATATCTCTTGCTAGTTAACATCAAGGTGATATGGGACATTTGTCCTTTTTCAAATAAGAAAAGATAATATACTGTACTTATTTTACACATATGCACAATCACATTTACGTTGAAGAATTCTAGTGCACAGTTTTTTGTTTGTTTGTATGGGGTTTTTTTTGACTCATTTGTGTTCGACGAATATTCTTTCTTTGTAAAGAATAATCTTCGTGTTGCAGTTTTATGTACGATTTAAGATTTGTACGTTCGTATATACCTTATTTGTTCAGTATTAGGGATGGATGCATTCCTAATGTCCTCAGATTACCACCGAATCGTATTTCTTAAATAGTTAAAGGGTTACTCCTACCTCTTCACTGCATTTGACAAATATTGAATTAAAGGTATATGTTATTGACGTATAGAAATAATACCTATCAATCCAAGTGCACATTAAATCCTAAGATACACAAAAAAGAAAAACCGGGAGAAATAAAATGCAGTATTAAAGTGTCAAATTTGTATGTTATAGTGGGGTGCTCAGTTTTATAAGCATTGATTGATTTATTTTTAAAACTAAAGGACAAAAGGAAACAAACTAAAAAACAAACCAAAAAAAAAAATTTAAAGTTATCTCTGTATGTTTGTACTGCAGGTTCGGTTCTTTACCTGCAACTTTCAAATATTCTAAACAATTATGACGACAGGCTTATTCTAAACGATATGAAAAACATCCCAAGCCCCCCCCCCCCCCCCCCAGGAATAAAATAAAATCTGCGGAATTCTACATAGAGTAAATATTTTTCTTACCTGTCTATTTTCAGCAGAAAGTGAAATCGATTCTTAAATGCTGCAAATTCCTGATGGGGAAAAAATCAATTCCCAAACTGGCTGAAAGACAATAGTGCTGTAATTCCGCTCTAGTTTTTAGTATCCGTAAAAGGTAATTTCCACGTCAGCTAAGAAAACCATTACTGACTAAAAAAAACTAATTACACTCTTTCCATTAACCCAATACACACATATCCAGTGAAAGAATTATTTGAAAATACGAGCCAAAACTTGAAAAGAGTAATTTAGAATTCTCTTGTGAATTCAAAGACAAAATATATTTCACAATCCAGCGCTCAAAACTAATGGTTTTTCTTCTTCAAAAGGAACAAAATCCATGATTGAAATATGCTTTATCTAAATTTCCAAGGTCGTATTCTCTCTATGACTGCAATTTTCTTCTCCCCAAACAACAGAGTGAACAACAAATGCAACTATTCAAAACTTTTTTAGTCATTTGTAAATCGTAGTAATTTGTTGGTTTCGATCCGCTTAGCTCCATTATCGGCCTAATTACACGACAATGCAATCCACGCACTGGGTATAAATTACCCCCCTTGAGAACGTACAGTCTACCTGAGCGTCGCGGTTGAGTGCGCCAGGTACACACAATACACCTAATCAACAATGTAGCTGAATTTAAAGATTGTTTAATTGTTATTCATAATCAATATATTCTAAGAGGCACTAAAGGGATTAACTTCAATTATCATAAAGGATTTACTGTGATGAAAAAAAAAATTACATCGGATACAAGAATTTAGTTAACATTTTTTTTAATCTTTAAAAGGTGTAGGATCTCTCTCTCTCTCTCTCTCTCTCTCTCTCTCTCTCTCTCTCTCTCAGCGTTATATGCTAGGAAATTCGTGTCAAACCAATATCAAAGCACTGTAGCAGTGATTGAAGTTTTAACTCTGTTCACAAAATTTTGCACATATTTTTAATTCTCTTCGTCATCAGAGTGACGAGAAGGGTTGAAATCCAATTAAAAGAAGTAGGATTCCTCCAATCAACATTTTTCATTTCATCACAATATATATACATGTATATATATATTTTAACACACCAGAGTCATAAATTGAGTTATCAATATCGAACCGCTGAGGAAAAGATTGATCGATCAACATACCCGACAGAAGATAAATATACTTTATTTATGTATATACCGTATTTATGGAGGTACGAGATTAATTAAATTTCCCAGATAATTTATAGGTGTGTAAAATAGAGTAGAAAAAAATTGCCCTCTGCCCTGAAAGAAGATAAATATAATTTACATACACCGTTTTTGTAGAAGTACGCGATAAAAATGCTATACCAAGATAATTTACAAGTGTGTAAAATAGTGAGAGTAGAAAAAAAAATGTCCTCTGCCGTAACAGCGACTGCACAGCCACTGCCGTGACCAGGATTCGAACCTGGGTTGTCGCGGCCACAACGCGAAGTACTAACCACTATACGATCACGGCTATCTGAGGACTTATTACACGTTGGAAAAGAAAATTAACAATTCAAAAAGTGCAGAAATTCGTGAAAAACACAGAACTCGTTGCAGTCATTTTATGCTTTTTTCATACGCACAATATTTTATAGTTTGCCTCTTAAGTTTTTAACATTTTATTTTTTTCGCTGTCTCTTGTAGAATCCGGCTTTTAGTGCAAGTAAAATGGTACTTCCGGTTCCGACTTGCACCGACTCCATGTGGTAGCGACCTTGGCTATCGCTATTGCGAATATTGTGTAACGCTCTTTATATTTCATATACAAGATGTCAGGATTTTTCTCAAAGCTAGGAGCACTTGGTGTTGCTGTTGCGGGCATTGGCAGTGTTGTAAACCTCGCACTTTACAACGGTAAATATAAATTGGTTACAGATAAACATATTTCATCAGAATAAAAAATCCAGCTTTTAGTTAAACTTTAAGAACTGTGAGATCATAAAACTCATAATATGTAGTAATCAATCAATACGTCCTTTTAGCTAAACAAAGAAAGAGATAAGAAAGTCTTTCAGACTCAAACTATCCTCAGGGCTAGTAGGTCATCAGTAAATTCTAGATTATGTGTATAAGCTGGATTATATTTATGATGGTTTCTTTTCTTCAGTTGATGGAGGACACAGGGCTGTGCTTTTTGACAGATTTAGGGGAGTTCAGGAAAAAGTTGCAGGAGAGGGAACCCATTTTCTAATCCCCTGGGTACAGAGACCTATAATATTTGATTGTAGGTCACGTCCCAGAAATGTTTCTGTGATTACTGGTAGCAAAGGTAAAAAATATCAATAATGGAAGATATTACAATCACAAGTCTAAAATATCCGATGTTTTACAGGCGTTTTTCACGGTTTTGATATTTTATGCACCAGGAAAACGTCAGAACCAGCGCCATTATGAAAAGTGGAAATTTGCCACTTCCAAGGCAGCATTCTCTAGTCGATTTACAATACATGCAAACCGAATTAAATATCTTACTCACATCTTGTAAACAGTACAATGCTTCTATTACAGGGTGTCCCAAAATATATGATACCATTTGAAATACCTGCCACAAACACATCCCTAGGCCAATTTCTTTGATATATGTCTCAAAAAATATTTGAGTAAGTACATTTTTTTTAAAGACAAATTATTCTTTAAAAAATTCTCACACTTTTGAAATTGCAACGTATCAAATTTACATCAAACTTTTGCAAAAAACTGCAATTTCGATCAAAATGGATTATCAAAAGAGCTAGCTACCCTCATTTTGAAACTATAATTATCATCCTAGTCTTAGGTTACTGCTGCTAAACCCAAACCAGAATCCTTAACATATATAAAAGGTTTACCACTGATGAAAATCCAGAAGTTACTACCGAGACAGGCACTGTTGTCTCAAGTTAAGGAACTTTGTGCAATGTCTAGACATCATCATTTACACAGATAGAATGTCATTCAGGGGGCATCATTTAAAAACCATAACATTTTTAAAAGTGAACTCACTTTGTTGTTTTCTTTTTAATGACTGTCAAATTATGTGAATAAAACTGGACAGTATATGCAATGTTTATAATGCATTTGTTGTAATTCAATATTCACTACATTAGGTTTTACAGAATCTTGAAATGGTATCATATATATCGGACACCCTGTACTTACCAATATCGTTTTTATTGTTCCTTTGTAATATGAAAACATTTTATCGGTGAAAACATTTTATCAAACTATAAAGGTTTGTTTTGATTTCATGCATTTTGAAATCTCATGAGACCTGTATCAAAATATGGAGTGGTATTTTCTTTTAAGGGGTACTAGTGAGAACTAAAAGCATCACGCTATTGATAAGTTGTGAGTTTGACATTAATTCGATTTGCAAGTATGGAAAATCGAGTTAAGTTGGAGACGGCGAAATTTCCACTTTTCATAATTTCGCCTTCTCTGTGTTTTCCTGGCACATAAAATATCAAAATCATGAAAAAACACCTGGAAAACGCCAGATATTTTGGACTATTAACAATCACTTGCTTATTTTTCAGAAGTATGTCTATGATATCATAACATTTAAAGTAAATTGAATTTAAAAATGTAGTACATGCAGTGCTCCAAGTCACACTCATTAGATCTATCAGTCACTATTATAAAGGGTGACCTAAAATTATTTATGGTCGCCATTTCAAAATTTCTGGTAGCAATCATGAAATACAGTAGAACTTGTCTAATCCGGATGTTGTGTATTCTGAAATCTTGCCTATTCTAATCAAAGATTTTAGTCCCTTTCAGTTAATTCACTTGTTTAAAATGTTGTCCAATTCAGAATGTGTAATCCAACCAATTTCTTTGGAAACCAGTGGTGTACAGATTAGACAAGTTTAACTAAATTTTACTTGCCTTGGCAAATACATTTTTCAAATAATAGAAACAGGGTGTTTTAAGGTCTTGATATCAAGGGTCTGTGCCTTTTCAATTGCAAAAATTGATTGAAATTATGAGAAACAATGCATACAAAGAAGTAGGGAAAAAACCAAACCATTGCATAAAGCAAGTATAATCAGACTCCTTTTGACTCTTAGTTCGAAACAAATTAGTTATACTTAAGAATTTAAAGGCAAAAATTGTAATCTGGGGACAATAAGGCCACCCTGCTTTGATGTTTTTCATTGTTTGGGAATTCTAAAGCAAAAATTGGGGAAAATACTTGCTTTTTAGTATTGGGAATGGGACCTTTTTCTGGCCCCTACACACTCAAAAAATCTGAGAAATTGTATCATAAAACAAGGAACAAACATTCATACATGACGTATTTTGTCTTTATTAAATCACAGTTTATTTATTACTATGACAAAACATTTTGTTGGGAGGTCAAAGAAACAACTCTTGAAATATTAATATTACATAAACAAGATGAAGTTTGTAAAAAAAAAAAAAAAAAAAAAAAGTTGCAACTTTGAGCACTGTAGTAGGCCTATGATCTGGGACTTTAAGTTTATCTCCTTTGAGTCTAGGTAGAGATTGTTCATTCAAAAGTAATTCACACTTTGCATCAAAGGTTTTGTATCAAGCATATTGCTCTTTTGCAGATTTACAGAATGTAAACATCACACTACGTATTTTGTTCAGACCTGTTGTGAATGAGCTGCCAAAAATGTACACAAATCTTGGTCTAGATTATGATGACAGAGTTCTCCCCTCCATTACAAATGAAGTGTTAAAAGCAGTTGTGGTAAGTAAAAGTAACGGTAAATTAGAAAAGGGTACTTTACTTTTGTTTAACAAATGAATCTCATCAAGTTTAACAGTGCAGATTCATGCATTTTTAGTTACATACTGTGAAATCATCCATTTTCATGGGGGTTTAATTTTTGCTGTTTTCGTGGAATGAAGAGTTAGGGACTCAAGAGTTCATGTCCTCCATGAACTGTAAAGTTTGAGATGTTTATCAAGTCAACACTTCTTCAGCTATGAAATCAAATCCTCTTGAACCAATATTTTTTTCCTCAAACCTTGAAAATATGATCCCTTGAAAATAAATGATTTGACAGTATTTGATTATATAAAGAGAAGTTACACTTGCAAAGTGACTGTAGTCTCCACTTATTGTTAGGATTCTCAAAATGTAAGTTGGAGACTCCATTAAGAAGACACCATAGTCTCTGTATACACACAAGTAGGATTTCGAAGACTTGTCAATTTTTTTCAAATGGTCATTTGGACTGATGTTTTCTTGAAAGTTATCGGTCCAGACAATTTTTTACTGGCCTTGTGGACAGGACCATCGGATTTTAACAAATCTGATTTCTATTAATCAGTGATGACAGACAGAAAGCACAACTTGGTTTACATCCAGCACTTGGACTGTCCATTTCCTTTGATCTAAGTACTATCATTATAAACATATAGCTTAAAGTAAAAAATTAACATGTTGCAATGTTCTGTTTTACAGGCACAATTTGATGCAAGTGAAATGATCACACAGAGAGAAATTGTTTCTCAGAAGGTCAGTGAAGAACTGATTACTCGCGCCTCACAGTTTGGAATCATCCTGGATGATATTTCATTAGTAAGTATGACCTCCATTCATATACAGTCAGACCTTTCATATACAGTCAGACCTCGCTATCTCAAACTTGACAGGACTGAGATTAAACTTCGAGATATCTGAGAATTCGAGATAACAAGGTTAATTACATAAAGAAAAAGAGGTTGGGACTGCCAAATCACTTCGACATATGCCTGGTATTTGAGATATCAATGTTTGAGATAATGGAAGTTCAACTGTCCCTTCAGTCTGTTGTTGGGGGTATTCAACAATGTCTAAATTGGTGGGGAATTTTATTTGAAGAGATGTCTTCAAGTGATTTTTTTTCACCAGACATAAAGCAGTTTGTTGGATGAAAGTTTTGTTGACTTCTGTTTCAGTCGTACCCACAAGTTACATCCCTATGAAGGATAACAATGTAATTCTCTCGTTGAATCTTTTGTAAATACATGTACATGTTACGCATGAACTATTGATTGTCACAATTATTAATCCCAACAAATGAAAATGAGTCCACTCTATTACAGGGCAGATTTATTATTCTGGTTTTCAGTACATGTATGGAACTGAACTGGATTTATCGTTTTCAAACATCACATTAAAATTGCATTTTCAGACCTTAGGTACATGTATTTTCTTAAAAGTGAGGTACAAGTGTATTATGGTTGTTGCTGTGCAATATTAGAAGATTTCTGATTATTTTTGTAGACACATTTAACATTTGGAAAAGAATTCACACAAGCCGTAGAAATGAAGCAGGTCGCACAGCAAGATGCAGAGAGGGCCAGATACAATGTAGAAAAGGTAGAGTTCAATTTCCATGTAAAAAGCCTGAAAATAACAAAATATGTTTCAAGTCGGCAAAGCTCCTGATGAAAGGAAAATGCTGAATCTAAAGTAGGTTGTTGATTTCAACATAGAAAACCAAAGATTGTGAGTTTTCACAAGAATTTAAATTTGATCTTGTAATAATAGTATCAGTATTATTGTCAGATTTAAAAAAATGGAATTAGACTAGTATATAGAAAAATAATTCCTTTACAGAGAATACTAAGCAGCTGTGCAGCTAAATGTATAAATAGACACTGAACAATATTTTTTACAATCACAGGCCGAAATGGTGAAGCGAGCTGCTGTCATTTCTGCAGAAGGTGATGCTGAAGGTGCTAAATTGCTAGCGGAGGCTTTCAAAAATTATGGAGATGGTATCGTAGAACTTCGTAAGATGGAAGCAGCTGAAGAAATTGCTAGCGACTTATCAAAATCACGAAATGTGACTTATTTACCAACAGGACAGCAGACTTTGTTAGCACTGCCTCAGTAAACTTATGATTAAGACATTTATGTGGATTGTATGATTGTGATAAAAGTACACATGTATATGTAATTATGCATTGTGTCCATATATCTGGCCAAGAGTGTATGGATATAATTGACACATGAGTTAATTAACATTCAGAAAAATGTTGGCACATTATATTTCAGGCATTTACTGTGGTATCAACTTTAGTATATGCCTTTAAAGGAATGTATGATGAACATATTATGAACAACGTTTTTGTGACAATAAAAATAAATGTAAATTTTAAGGATTTAGATTACAATGCAAGTTTCTGAGTAAAAAATGGGTGGCAGTATTCATTGTAATTAAAATGTTACATTGAGGTGAATTTTTAACAAAAGCAGATTTCTCAAAAGGAAGGGGGGGGGGGGGTTAAACATTGCAGGGATTTTTGGTTTGTTTTAAGCTCACCCGAGCCAAAGGCTCAAGCTTTTCTGATGGTAAAGTGTCCAGCATCCATCTGTCTGAGGTTTGTCATCTGTAAACTTTTCACTTTTTCGACTTCTTCACCAGAACCACTGGACTAATTTCAACTAAACTTACCACAAAGCATTTAAATTAGTTCAAATAAAGGGCCATACCCTCTTTCAAATGGGGGGGGGGGGTTGATTAAAAACTAGTGAGAATTAAATGGTATCTTTATCTTCAAACATCATCTCAAGAACCACTGGACCAGAAAAGAAGAAACTTAATATGTGAAAGCTTCATTACATGTTATAGATTCAAGGTTGTTCAAATCATAATCCCTTGGGGTAGAGTGGTGGCACAATATGTGATCAAAATTTTTAACAGGAATAAATAGGGAAAATCTTCTCAAGAACAGCAAAGCCAATTATATGGAAGTAGAGTGTATCTTCAGGTTGTGTAGATTCAAGTTTGTTCAAATCATAACCCCCAGAGTTACTAGGGAGGAGCCACAATATGTAAACAAAGTTTTACATAGGAAGAAAAAAGAATAATCTTTAAAAAATCAGTCATATTTGTATGGAAGCATCCTCTTGTTGTGTTTACATAGAAATATATTTATATTGGGATAGAAACTGCTGATGAAGAGAAGTAGGATCATAGTGCATCAGGTGAGTGTTGTGGTCCATTAGCCTCTTGTTTCATTATGCCCAGTAATTGGTGATTCAGGGGCATATAGTTTTTGGTCTGTTAATCTTTTTTTCCGCAGAAACTTAACTTGCCCATGACTTTTGAATGGTTGATGTATGGGTTCATATACTGTTAAAAATAACGCAAAGCAGGAATAATACTCTGTAAAATAAAAAAATATTTTTGTCATATCATACAATTTTTAGGTCACCTGAGTCACTCAGGTGACCTATTGCTATCCCTTTTTGTCCGTCGTCGTGCAATGTGCGTTAACATTTGAACATTTTTAGCTTCTTCTCTGAAACCACTTAACCAATTTCAACCAAATTTGGCATATAGCATCTATGGGTGAAGGGGAACAAAAATTCTTAATTTCATGGTCCCTGCCCCCCTGGGGCCTGAGGGGTGGGGCTAAAACCACCAAAATTAATGCAATCTTTAAAAATCTTCTTCTTTACTCCTGGACATCAAGCAATCAAACTGTTGGCATGATTGTAATAAGCATTGAGCCCTCTACCAAAATTATGAAATTCATGGTCCCAGGGTTAGGGTTTCTGGTGCTAGGGTGGGGCTATATAGATCATATAGTGAAAGTGCATTATTTCTTTGAAAATCTTCTTCTCTGCTCCTGGGTATTAAATAAAGTAACTAAGTATATATTTATGATGAGCAAGAGTGCCTCTTCCAAAATTGTGAATTTCATGGCCCCAGGGTCAGGGCTTCTGGTGTTAGGCCGGAGCTCTATTGATTACCAGGGTATATAGTGAAATGCATTAATTCTTTGAAAATCTTCTCTGCTCCTGGGTATTAAATGAAGTAACTAAGTAAGTACATAATTATGATGAGCAAGAGTGCCTCCTCCAAACTTGTGAATTTCATGTCCCCTGGGTCAGGGGTTCTGGTGTTAGGGCAGGGCTCTATTGATTATATAGTGAAAATACATTAATTCATAGAAAACCTTCTCTGCTCCTGGGTATTAAATATACTAACTAAGAACATAGTTATGGTGAGCATGGCTGCCTTTTCAGAAATTGTGAATGTTATGGCCCCTGGGTCAGGGGTTCAGGTGTTATGACAGGGCTCTATTGATTATATAGTAAAATTGCATTAATTCTTTGAAAATCTTCTTCTCTGCTCCTGGGTATTAAAACTAACTTAGTGCATAGTTATGATGAGCATGGTTGCCTCTTCCAGATTTGTAAATTTCATGGCCCCTGGGTCAGGGGTTCTGGTGTTAGGGTGGGGCTCTATAGATATATTTATTGAAAATACATCAATTCTTTGAAAATCTTATAATAGATATTGATGAGAGCTATGCAACTGCATCAACATTTTTTGACCTTGACCTTTCATTTGACCTTGGCGACACTTTTCTTAAATTAGTGTTTAGCTCAGTTTTAAAGATACCATTCAAGGCAGAGTAATCAAACTTCATATGTTGATACATACTGATGTAAGCTATTCAACTGCATCAACATTTTTTGACCTTGGCCTTTCATTTGACCTTGACCTCACTTTTCTTAAATTAGTGTTTAGCTCAGTTTTAAAGATACCATTCAAGATAGTGCAATCAAACTTCATTTGTTGATACATTCTGATGTAAGCTATTCAACTGCATCAACATTTTTTGACCTTGACCATTCCTTTGACCTTAAACTCACTTTTCTTAAATTCGTGTTTAGCTCAGTTTTAATGAAATCATTCAAGATATTTTTATCAAACTTCATATGCTGATACATACCAATGAGAGCTTTTAAACTGCATCAATATTTTTTGACCTTGACCTTTCCTTTGATCTTGACCTCACTTTTCTTAAATTAGTATTTAGCTCAGTTTTAAAGATACCATTCGATACAGTGTTATCAAGCTTCATATGTTAAAACATACACCTTGACCATTCCTTTGACCTTGACCTCACTTTTCTTAAATTAGTGTCAAACTTCATATGCTGATACATACTGATGTAAGCTATTCAATTGCAGCAATATTTTTTTGACCTTGACCTTTCCTTTGACCTTGACCTCACTTTTCTCAATTTGTGTTTAACTCAGTTTTAAAGAAAACATTCATAATATTTTTATCTTACTTCATATGCTAATACATACTGATGTAACCTTTTTAACTGTATCAACATGTTTTGACCTTGACCTTTCCTTTGACCTTAACTTCATTTATTTTAAAGTAGTGTTTAGCTCAGTTTTAAATAATCATTCAGAATATTTTTATCAAACTTAAATATGCTGATACGTATTTGTGAGAAGTATTCAACTGCACCAAAAACATTTGACTTTGAACTTTCCTGTGACCTTGACCTCACTTTTCTTAGATTTGCATTTTGCTTAATTTTAAAGAAACCGTTTAAGATATATTTATGTAAGTTTATGCACTTATACATAATTTGGCGAGAATTTATTATCTATATCCAACTTTTTAGATTTCAATTTCAATTTTAAAGAGACTATTCAAGATATTCTCATCAAATTTCATACACTAATACAAATTTTCATGTTGCATTACTAATATACCCTTGGCGGGGCATTCATGTCCTATGGACATATTTCTAGTTTCTACTAATGGTTATAAAGCAAAGAAATAAGTGTATAGTTATGATGAGCAAGGGTTCTTCTTCCAGAATTGTGAGTTCATGGCCCCTGGGTCAAATGTTCTGGTGTAAGGGTGGGGCTTTATTTATTTAATAATATAGTGAAAATGCATTTCTTTGAAAATCTTCTATGCTTCTGGGCGTATTCGAGGCAAACAGAGTAAAAGTTTTCATATGCAAAGGTAATTTTACCAGAATTTTGAACACCTGGACTATTTAGTCAAGTGTTCTGGTCCTGGCCAGGGCTCTATTAACTTGTATTCTGCTGAGCAAAGTTATTCCCCTTTGCCATTCACCTTTGATAATTAATCACTGTAAACAATGTATTTGAAAGGTTAATAGAATACGAGAATTATGCAAGAATATTTATCATATAATACAAAAAGTACTTTCATGGTTTAATGATCAGGTAGATTTGGAAATAATAGATGAATAAAAAATGAGACAAAAATAACTTATCTTTTTAAATGTTCTTCAAAGGCCAAGAGAGGCCAATGTGAGAAGTAATTATATGGGGTTAAAAAATAGATATTTTGTTAATAGTCTGCATGGTAATAGTGATAAATGGGGGATAGATAGATACTAGACCAATTATTTTGTTGATGCTAATCATACAATTTTTCTTGCTTTTGGGCAACAAAGCTTAATTTATCAGTTTATGGATCCTTTAAATTGCTGTATTGTACTCAGGTGACCGTTAAGGCCCTTGGGCCTCTTGTATTCAGATGGATATGATTCATACGAGTAAGGTGCATTATTTTTAACGCTATTGTTAACTTGACAACCATTCTACAAAACTCCAGACAAAAAGACCTGATTTTGCAAAATGCTAAAATTTGTTCTGTTGGGGTTTTTTACCTATATCCTTCAGGTACAAAATGTCTATCAAAAGCTGGGGTTCTCGCTTTTTTATTCTGTTTTTTAGCTCACCTGAGCTGAAAGCTCAAGTGAGCTTTTCTGATCACCCTTTGTCCGTTGTCCGTCCGTCTGTAAACTTTTCACATTTTCAACTTCTTCCCAAGAACCATTGGACCAATTTTAACCACACTTGGTACAAAGCATCCTTGGGTGAAGGAGATTTTAAATCGGTACACATGTAAAATGAAGGGCTAAGTCCCCTTACAAGGGGAGATAATCAAGAAAAGACAAAAAAAGGGTGGGTCATTAAAAAAATTTCTTTTCAAGAACCACTGGGCCAGAAAAGCTGAAACTTATGTGGAAGCATCCTTGGGTAGTGTAGATTCTACATTGTTCAAATCATGACTCCCACCCCCTACCCCCACCCTCCTTGTGTAGGGTGGACCACAATAGGGAATCAAAGATTTACATTGAAATATATAGAAAAAATCTTTTAAAATCTTCTTCTCAAGAACTACTGGACCAGAAAAGCTGGAACTTATGTGAAAGCATCCCGGAAAAGTGAAATTCCAAGTTGTCCAAATCATGACACCCGGGGGTAGGGCAGGGCCACAATAGGGAATCCAATTTGTACATTAAAATATATAGAAAAAATATTCTTCTCAAGAACCAATTGGCCAGAAATGCTTATGTGGAAGCATCATGGGGTAGTGTAGATCTAAATTGTTCAAATCATGACCCCCGGGTATAAGGCGGGGCCACGATAGGGAATCCAATTTCTAATATTCTAAATTGTTCAAATCATGACCCCCGGGGGTGGGGCGGAGCCACTATAGGGAATCAAATTTTTACATTGAAATAAATAAGGAAAATCTTTAAAAAACTTCTTCTAAGGAACCACTGGGCCAGAATAGCTGAATCTTATGTGAAAGCATCCTGGGGTAGTGAAAGTTCTAAATTGTTCAAATCATGACCCTCGGGGGTAGGGTGGGACCACAATAGGTATTATTACAAGGGTAAAATCTGGTGAAGAACAGCAGGGCAAAAGTAACTCAGGTGAGCGTTGTGGCCCATGGGCCTCTTGTTCTGAAAATTCTAAAAATCCTGCATCTGAATGATGCATAGCGTACAAAGGAAAGGTAGAGGTCTCAGACCAACAGAGTTTGGCCACAGCAACACTACTGAACAGTTTGATTTAGCTACTTCTTCTCGTTAACCTTGAAAATAAAAAATCTGTGGAACTTTCACCCAATCTCACTTACACACTGCCAAGAAATGCACTTTGCCACTATACTCACATGGCCGTAGGAACTGGGGGGGGGGGGGGGGGCACGGGTTACATAGATACTTACATACTATATGCTTGTGCCCCCTCATTAAAAACGTCTGATGACCTTTTTTTTTTTTTTTTTTTTTTTTTTTTGCTTGTCAAGATATTTTTGATAGTGCCCCCTCAACTGAGTGTATGGCTGTGCCCCCGCCTAAACTGAAATTGCTTCCTACAGGCCTGACTCATTTGTGATCGGTATGTATCATTATGTGAGCTCAGTGCTCACAGTACTTCTTAGTTACATGTATACCCCCACTATGTACATGTATATAGTGATGAGGTGCCTATCCCTACGTCCTTCCGTTACACTTGGGGTAGACCTCCTTATCCGTAACTTCTTTTACACCACTTAATGCAATTTAATTAGACTTTCAGGCGCGTAGCTGCCTATACGCAAATACGCAAGTGCGTACACATCATTTTCAGAAAAAAAGAAAAGAAAAAAAGAAAGAATTATTCGGAGAACAAAAAAAACTCAGTACCTTCCAACAAATTATTCTTTGTCATGCTGTGTCGATTAAAATTTTAAATTATCATGGCTGTATGATAAATTTGAAATCTTTTATTTAATAACTGCCAAATCCAAATAAATCATTCATTATTTTGTCATTGTTCTATTATACATAGATATTTTTTTTTAAAGATCTTTGAAAAATTAAATTTCAGCCAAATCGTTGCAATAAATGCTATGATCTGCTAGTCTGATTTACAATAAGATATTTTTTGTTCATAATTAAAATTTTGTATACGTGTTTTGACGTTAAGAGTGATTATATGATACCAATTAATATATCGGTTAAATTTTTAGCCTCAATTTTATGTACAATAAGTTTCCATGGAATATTAATTTTCGTTAAAACAATAAATATTACTATGTATTTTATTTCCTAAACAAAAACTAAATGGCATAATTTTTATATTTCAAGAAAATGAATGAAAAATTTAGTAGAACTCCGGAGCTTCTGGGCCCTCGCCAGCAGGCACGTAGTATCAGGGGAGCCTCCCCCTACTTATTCCCAAAACCTAACCTTTTACTATATTGAAAATGTACATTGAAAGGTTGGACCCCAACTGTTTGTTACACCATTGTTAAATTGTTTAATCATATTAATTTGGTAATGTATTAATAAAAATTTGGTTTGTGAAAGATGGACACCCCCTCCCCCCCTCAACAAACAAACACACGCACACACACACACACACACAAGAAATAGGACTTCGAATTTTGACAATCTTCGTTTTTCGTCCTTGCTTGACAAAATTTTTAAAGTTGTAATTTTTTTTCTGGCTGGCAAAAACTATATTACGTGCTTGACCAGAGCCCTTAAACACCTATGGGGGGGGGGGGGCTCAAGACCCCCCACCCACCCACCCTGCCGTTCTCTGCGTACACATCATTTCTATTCTGGCTACGCGCCTGACTTTCACGAACTCTTTATTACATACAGTAGCATTGTGCATCTCCTATTTTACGTTTAGATCAGACACATATTTGGGGTTTCCCATAGCAAATATGAATACTACCATTCTTTCTAAAATAGTGGGGGTACCCATCTCTTATCTGCAACTTGTTCCTAATCCACTGAATAAATATAATGAGACTTTCACAGAATCTTTATTACATATTGCCATTATGCACCTTCTATATTAGTTTTCATTGGACAGATATTTGAGGTTTCCCAATACTAGGACTTCGGTATTTTACATGTACTCGGGACACAATACTAATACTTTCCCTCTGTACGGAAAAGTTTGTTTGAGACCAGGAAACAGTTGTTTGTATTCCTGTAAGCTCTGACGCCAACAATTTTCAGCAGAGCGGGAAATATCAACATACACATTGGATTATGTATATACAATGTACATGTAGATAATAAAATTCATCTTACATTCACTATACGGTCTTTGATATATCATTTTTATGCCCCACCTTAAATGGTTCAAGCATATAGTATTTATCTTGCTTGTCTATATCGTCCTCCTGTCCATCTGCCACAACGGGTTTAGTTCAGTTTCCAAGAAACTGTTATAAAGACTTAGGGTTCAAGGTCTGAAAATTACTGTATTAAATTCACACACTGGTATACATGTATTTAGGTAAGAACTTTTCAAATGTATAACAACAGACCTTGAACCTTATGACTTTGAATTCATTATTCTTCGTTTTGTGTTTAACGTACATGTAGTTTCAAAAAAATGTTCGATATTTTCATCAAACTTCATACATGTACTCTGGTACAAATTCATCGTCTCATGCCATGGTCCGGAGTCTGCAAATAGCTCTCTCCTACAGAATGGTAGAGGATCGTACATTTTGGCCGCAGTGCGACGATGATACGAATTGAGTTTTTCAACTGTATCACAGTTTAACATTGTTTCTCCCTATGTCCTTGACCCACTTTTCCTTGTATTTCGATTTTCTTAGTTTCAAAGAAACTGTGTCTACTTCCATTGTATATTTGTTCTATTTCGATTTTCTTAGTTTCAAAGAAACAGTTGAGATAATTCCATCGCATATATTTGTATTATAAAAAACAACAATACTGATAATTCGCGCAAGTTTTTCTCGCTTATAAGTACTAAATGACTATATCTCGCGAAAATAAGGTGTCACTAAAATTTATTGATCTACATAATGGAAAAAAAATGAACTCGAGAAACAAGCATATTTTGAAGAAAAACACCCGCACATGGACTGTGTGTTGATAAAATTTTATTACAAAATTATCAAAGAGATTTCGAATTTCTAGAAAGTGACAAATAATTAGCTCTTACATTGTGTTGAAAAACCGTGAGTATTTTTGTCTTAAAACACATGTTATGAACGCAAAAGACATTGAAAGGATGTCGAATCGGTAATTAACACATATTAAAACATGTCTAATTTCCGCTCCGTCACCGCCTTGGTCTGGGTTATCTAAAGGTGAATGTTTAATTAATTATATATTTTATTACGAATTTTTATCTTTGGAATATTGACAAATATCAAAATAAATTAGTTTTAAGATTAAATATTCATGTCTCATTTTCTATAACGTTAAGTATTCTGTCTGATTGTTTTTACATTTTAAAGAGTATGCGACAATTATGCAACAAATTAAATACCTCCTTGGTGCCCCATTTCAAACAGCAAATTAAAAAGTGCAATTATAAATTAATTGTCCGTACTTTTTCTAGTTGCAGTAAAGGCGGCGTCTGCCTCAGTTCTTTAACTGGTAAGTTTCAGATTTTTTGTCATGTGAAAATGCATAGAAAAACAAATTCATATTTTTGATGGATATTTGATAAGGAAATACTTTCAATGTGATCAAATTCAAAGTGAATTCCAAAATATATTAATTTAGACTTCATGGAATTTGCCATTACCTTGTGGGATTTTCATTTCAATTAAAAGTATTAACGAAATTCTACGGAATTCGAAATTTGTGCACTTGTTACTGTTAACTCCATTAAACTAAAAGTTCGAGTGAATCTTGTGTCTATTCTGACCAAAGTCGTTTTTTTTTTTTTTTTTTTTTTCTTTTTTTTTTTTTTTTTTTTTTTGCTTAGATTTCCATCTGTCTGACAGGTTTTTTTTTCACTATCAACTTTTCAATAAACACTGATCCATTTTCATCAAACTTCAACCATAACAATCATGGGTCAAGCTTAACCTGGGAGTAAAATAAGTAGTAAAATATTTATATAATAAGTTTATTTACTTCCAGACCAGGAAAATATTCTTTGATTAACTTTCAACATCGTATACAGCATAAATTTTAATTTGTTTGAATACTTTACTAGGGGTACACATCGGTATATATATACATGTAATATTTAATATTTATACAAAAAAAAAATCCCCGATCAGTAGAGCACCAATGGATTAAATTAACATGCAATCAGCTCCACCTATTGCAAAATCAAATTTTAATATTTATTGTTATACCTTTAAAAATTTGTTCCTATATAAATCAATACTAATAAAAGCCTAACATTTCCATTGTTTAACTGAGCGGGCATTAAAAAATCGATGTTTGACCGCGGAGTGAGATATTGGACCTGTCGATGAGATGTTTAACCGCTTACGTCACACAATGGGCGGGGTCAGCTAAATCTTATTTGCATTCGTTGGTGTTGTCAAAAAATAATAATGAAAACAATAAAAGGTATAACAAAACATTTATTGACTGTGTTCTCGGGCAAATGCGTTCGGCCTAACGGCCTCAGGCAAACAGTTTGGTTCTTGGGTCCGACAAAATGCATGTTGCCCTCGAACCTAGTCAATAAATGTATAATATTGTCCTTTACTAGATGGGTTAAGATATTGAGGCCATTATAGGGAGATAATGTTTATACAGTAATATTATACTAATATATAAAGAAAATCTTTTGAAAAAAAATGTATTATAGAGCAATAAAAAAAATTCATAGAAACCATCTCATGTAGTGTATATTCAAGTCTTTTCAAATCGTACCCCCTCCCTTAACTATGATAGGGTGAAGTTTAACATGGGTGTACAAATCAAAATCTTTAGATATCTTCTCAAGAACATAGGTGAGTTCCAGTGCATATTGTCGTTGCCTCAGGGGGCTAAAAATGGCGTCGTTCCACACATGAATGATTATAAAGGAATGGGGCTTGAGGGGGCTACAGCTGATGATTAAAGTTTTAGATAGGAAAAAGTCCACAGAAAAACATCATGGTTAGGATTTGTGAATATATCGAAGAACCATTCACGGCAAAACCATATTTTGACCCAATAAAGACCAAATTTTGAAAATGTCTAGAAATATGGAAAATCCGAATTAACAAAAGATATTATAGTTTGGAAGTAGTATTGATATTTCTTATTTCTTTGACGTCACAGACTATTTGGATTTTCCGTAATTTTTTAGCACGACGAAATGGAAAAAAAAATTGTTCAATTTTGACTATAGAATTTACCGAGCACACACTTGCTCCGGCAAAATATTCACAAATTTCATTGATATTATCATTTTACACATTATATCAAAATGGATATTATTTATATATCTATGGAGTTGGAGCAGCCCTGCGCTCAATGACTTTTAATCAAAATATTAACGTAAAATATACTTTTTTTTCTTGATGTAATATTTAACATATGGCATCAGGTCTGATGAAAAGGCTTAAATAATGCTTTGAAGTTTGCAGATACTCCCCAGGTTTAGATATACTTATATAAATATAGATTTAGATTATATATAAATATAGATTTCAGCCACCAGCGTTCGATTTTGGAGGCAAATAGCTGTCATTACAGAATACAGTCCTTTATAGACATAAAATTATTGAAAATATGTGCGTTTAAATTTACTTCGGGAAAGGAAATGTGACTCGGTAAGAGTGGTTGCCATTGGACCTCTTTTTTTTTTAGAACACAATAAGTTACCAATAAAACTGCTTTTATTCGTAGGTCTCGTGCCCACAGTCTTTCTACCATGGATTTCGTTGTTTGGACACTGGTTTTCTTCCAATCAATGACGGCCGTTTCGTCGCAGGGATTTTCGGCAATGGAACCACTCATTAGTCCAGCTGGAAGCGGTAACGGAATCCACAGCGTAGCCAACTCAAATCCCAGTCTAAATGCACGCCCCAATGGCGCCGGAGGAGCTCCGAACAATCCTGCCATGGAAACCGTTCAAAACCCTAATCGTTTTGGCATGGCTCCATTTTTAGGCCAACAGGGTGGACCTGGAACAGACTTTAACCGACCCTCGAATATCGGTAATCCGGATCCCAATACTCTGATAAATAGGAGGGCAAGGCCACAGCAGCCGCCCATGGTCGTAAAACTACCACACATGTGTCACACAACGAGTTGGAGTACCGATACGATGGTTGTTATGCCAATGCCTATGTCAAGGATGAAGACTGCTGTTGGGACATTGCCACTGAGAGGAGGAGTGGTGATGCAACAAGGCAGGGGAAGAATTCCTTTCTCTATGGGACAGATAATGGTAATGAAAATGAGAAATCAAATGATGTCTATGGCAAGGCAAGGTTCAGCGGCAATGTCAGAAAAACCAATGCATGCCATGGGAGAAAATAACATGGTTGCAATGGCTAAACCCGTAATGAATGGCGCCATGGCTGGGAGCATGATGAATGGAATGGGTACCGTGCCACAACCTGAACCAATGATGGCAACACCTGAACAAAATATGATTGGTGTAGGTGCTATGCCACAACCTCAACCAAACATTATGAGTGGTATGGCACCAATGCCAGAACCAAACATGATGAATGGAATTACACCCATGAATAAATTAAATATGATGAACGGCATGAACTCTATGCAACAACCACAACCAAACATGATGGCACCGATGCCAGAGCCAAACATGATGAATGGAATGGCATCCATAAATGGACAAACTATGATGAATGGAATAATTCCACAAACTACACAAAACAAAATGAATGCAATACCACCGATGTCTGATCCGGTAAACGGGATGGGCGCTTTGTCACAACCTGAACCTCATATGATGAATGTCATGAGCTCTGCTTCGTCATCAGGGACAAATATAATGGGCAATAATGGATTAATGTCAATAATGTCTATGACACAAAATGGGGTACCTTCACAACCAAAGAATCAGCAGCAAGTCGTTTGGGCGGTACCGTCTGCTAATGTTATGGTAGCAATGTCTTATCCAACGCCAAATGGAGCCACAAATGTGCAGCGAGTGGCTATATACTGATCTGAAAGATAACAGAAAAAAAATCCCATATTTGTCTTCCTGTTTTAATATAAGATTCCGTTTGCCGAAGGCACGTTTTGTAAATTTCATTGTGATATATGTATATTTATTTGAATGGCTATTGAAATAGATGAAGGGGAAGTTAATTGTTCATTTTAGTAGATTATTTCGTCAGTTGCAACTCACGTTCATTTATTTTTATCTTAGTAAAATCATTTTTATTTCATTAGGAGTAAAACAGTGGCCTTGGCAACTCTTAAAATGAATATTAGAATTTAATTGAAGTTAAAATTACTTTTGTACTGAAGTACACGTTCATGTAAACATGCATTATGGCCATCTAAATTTTCTAATTGCAGTCAAACCTCGTTATCTCGAACTCAATGGGACCGAGAAAAAAAAACTTCGAGGTATCTGAGGATTCTAGATTTCCAGGGTAAAATACATAAAGAATACGTAACTGGAACTTCCAAATCACTTTAACATATCCATCGTATTCGAGAATAAGTGGTTGGGATTTCCAAATCACTTTGACATATCCATGGTATTCGAGATATCGTTTGACTGTAGTTAACTGAAATTAAACTGAAGTTGATTTATCTCAAATAAAATTTGTTATTACTGAAGTAAAAAAAAAAATGACATGGACATTGCTATAATACGATATAATAATAGAAAATAATTCATAATTAATCAATTACGAAAGTATCTTATAGATATTAAGCTTCAGCGTTACAGGTATTTCAGGGTACGGAGAGTGCGAAAAAAGTATTTTCAGGACACGCAAAAAAGTGCAGTAAAATTATATTGTCTGTAATTCATTATCAGGCCCGTAGCAATCGTTTCAAAGGGGGGGGGGACAAACCCCCCCCCCGAAAAAAAAATCCGACAAGCAAAAAAAAAAAACCCCTAACCTTATCTAATTAGCTGTCCAAATCCACGAATTAGCCAATGCTCGGCCTTACAGCAACAAAAATGTGGGGGTGGGGCAGCATCTAAAAAAATTTTACTATAGTAAAATACTATACTCAGATAAAAGTGCCCCCGATCCCCCTGCGTTCTACGGGCCTGACTATGAAATGTAAGTAAATAGAAATGGTTTAAAAAATTACTCTCAACAAATTAATCACCAATGTCGACGCGAGAGATGCAAACAAGTTGGTGAACAACGATTTCATGAATGTCTTTCTATCGAAAGTTCTCAATTGGACACGCATGGCACCTTTTCAACCTAGAGATGACATGCTTTACGACTTTTTTTGTGTTGTGCGAAACAAGTAATTCCATAGAGCTATTTGCTTCAGGTCTATGGTAATTCTATTAATATTTGAATATATTTATGTAAACGGCGTTGACATTGTTTTGCTTCCATATAGTTATATGGCAAGAGCTTAGAGGTCGTTGAGCTACATTTTCCCCCATGGGATCTGAGTTTTCAAATTTTGCATATATTCCAGATTCACTATGTCAAAAACGTTCACCCGTGTATAAAGTATTTGTCTTTATCAAAATATACGCAAAGCTAGTGTCCATATCATGTTCAAAAAACATTTGTCAGTATAATAATTTCTAAATTTAAGGACCCCACAGAATGTTGTGATTTATTGATATTGACATCGGTTCTAGAGGATTGTAACGGTATATATCATTTACCTGTATGTATATTTCGGCAATTTTGTCTTCGCATTGGTGTAAATTGAGGACCTCACTAATACTATGCGTAGCAAATGCCATTTTTGGTTTTGTTTGAAACTTTGTGCGTGTATCATTCTCGAGATCTGAATACCAATATTTTATCAATTTTTTGGCTTCAGACTTATGATTCCAAAGTCAGACATTGTAATAAATTCATTAGATCTTTTTATCTTAGATCTGAACATTTTATACTGCTTTAATTTTGTCCAAGCAGATGATTTCATAATTATTAATAATAGTTTCGATATAAATTTTATTCTTTGTATTCCAAAATATGAAATAACCGGTATATGAATTCTGTTATTCCCTCTTGTTGTATTCCCTTGTTGTTTGTATTGCGACATACTGGTACCTTACGCATCCTTTAAATTAATAAAGATTTAAATGATTCTAATTCTGTTCTAAATTTTGAATTTACTGGAAGGTAGTCAAAAATAAGATATTTGGAACATGACAACTTCTTAATTTTTTTTATTTACTTCCATCCAGTAAAATCAAAATTTAGAGCCTTCAGAGACTGATCTGGGGGTGAACACTATTGCAGTCCTCGTACATACATGTACAAGGAAGCGTATGTATGATCTGACTCGGGGGTGGTTGATTCTGGTACTTTTGTAAATGCACGTATCACAAAATAGAATTTGTGATTCGGGGATTTTAAAGGTCAATTTTAAAAATGGACGGCATTTATATTTGCTGATTTGAAGAAGAAATTTGTTACAAGTTTTTTTTTTTAAAGTTCACCAAAATTCTTTAACCTTTGTTACAGAAAATCACTTTAATATATAAGTGTACTTTATGCTTTATCTATTTTATGTATGAAAGCATTGTTTTATTAAAGAATCAAATCTGACTCATCGAGTATTGGGCATTATATATTATAACTACCCCACTTTTGCAAAAAGTATACTAGGAACAAAGTTAAAATATAATGCTTTGGAGTGATATCGCATAAACATAATGAGCCCCTGATTGCAGCAAAGCTTGCAATACATGTATATTATCTGAAATGGGATACAAAATGCTGCCAAAAAACTCTCAATTTAAAATAAAAATGCAAGCAATTGATTAAATGCTTCTTTGAATGTGTAAGACCCTCATAAGTTTAAGAAGTCTTAGGAATGAGAGCGAATTTAATTAGACCGACTTCCTTTCTACAGAACAAACAAAACAATTCATTTACAATTTTTTATACATAATCTGTGACAAAATTAAAATATAAACAAATTAATTTAAAAAATATACATGTACTCAGTATTGTCCAATTAGCGTCAAATAAATCATTCGATAGCAATATGTTACAATTAAATGTTATAATTAATGATAATAATTAAAAAAAAAAATAACCATATGCGTAACATTTGAGCATAATATATTACGCAGTTATACATAATATGACTTATGTGACTGAAAGCCCAATTGTAAATTGTATAAAATATTATTACCTAAAACAAAATTATATGTTAGACCATGATTTTATTATAATGATAATTACACACACACCACATTTTTTAGCATTGGCCTTATTTATTTTTTTTTTTTTCTCTTAATAAATCATCAGTATTAATGATTAATTTAATTCAAAATTTGGGTAGGTTGGTACATTTAGGTAGGGTTTTTTTTTCAACGCATGCATTTTCCCCCAGAAAAGTAAAAAAAAATTGAATGATCCCCGTCGATCTTAATTATCAAAAAGCAATTTACAATCTATCAAAAAAAAATCCTCTAAATTATAGCTAATAAAATTTGGGATTTGTACATAATTTTAAACTGACTACACTATGAGTACCAAGAAAAGGAAGTATATTATTTAATTCATTAAGCTTGTATAAACCGTTAGTGTTAAATAAACAAATTTAGAGCCTCGCTTACTTTGTACATTATTTCTGAGATTTAATTTCTGAAGATCAGTATTTTTGTCTGAAAGCAGGAAGTTGCCAAGTGTATTAATGGAAAGTTTGTCCCAACACTTCTCCAATACGGGATTAATTATGAATTATCTCGAGATCTATCAAAAAAAAAAACCTTTAGCTCATGATATTTCGGCATTAGTCGAATTTAGATAAATAAAAGGTATGATTTATAAATTTATAAATGGCAACAACATATCTATTTTGGTCTACATATAAAGGATTTATAAAATCTGGGTATTTTTATCTGTTCTTTATCAATTGATTATCTAAATGGGTTTCAGTAATATGTACATGTATGATGTTAAATTCGGGCAATTCTATATTGGATATACTAGTAGACAATATTGTCGTATATTTTTATTTTCCCCTTTCTTAACCCTTGTTTTTTATCTAGGAATCCTCTGTCTTCCTCTTGAAAACTAGTTACTCGTTAGCATTGCTTAAACATTTACATAATATAAAGCAGAAATCAATGATCGTTTTATCTATGTTGTTCAAAGGGACATAATTTGAGTTATCGAAGTTTGAAACAAAACTTACATTATGCAAATTTCCAAATAAACATTCAATCACAAGGACAAATTGTATATAAAAGCTGTCTTTGGAGTGTGGATGGTGAGGAATATTTCTAATACATTGACAAGTAAAATCATTCTGCTTGTTTTAATACAAGTAGAATTGCACCATACTGCACTCTGCTGCAATACAATGCGTTCTGCTTGTTTAAATACAAGTAGAATTGCACCATACTGCAATTTGCGGCAATACAATGCGATACATTGTGATGCCTGCCAAATTGTCCAATCAAAATTAACTTAGTCATTTTTTTTTTCTTAAATGAATTATAAACTGATTGAATACACACACTTTTTTGTCATTTTATGCTATGAAAAAAAAGGTTTCAAAAACAGACTAGAGAGCATTTCTTTTATTCTCATATTCTTAAATATTTGTTTTCTTTGATATGAATCAAAATTAACAATCAGTAATTAAGTCGAAGGACTTTCGCAAAGTTACGTGTTACTGGTTTCTGTTTTTTTTTTTTAGCGAATGACTAGTTTGAGTATGCGTAAACGATCCAAAAGAAATGAACACTCCTTGTTGACTGATGAGTGGATTTTTTTGTTTGCAAGAGAATTTACACTTTTTACCATAATAAGAATTTAACTGCATTTTATTGCTCTGCACTACAATGCAATGTCATTCAATCAAATGAAGTCCATTTTTGTTTTACATTATGGTATTGAAAATAAGGTGTAAATTAACATATTCTCTAATATATTTCTATTTTTCAAAAAGTTTTGAAAAACAGACTGGATGGAATATTTTCATTCACATTTTCTTATATGATTGTTCTCTTTCATACGAATCTAAATTAACAATGCAGTAATAAATTCGAAGGATTTTTCGACAGATTTTTTTCATTGCTGTTTATTATTTTATGCAACGCCTAGTTTGGGTATATGAAAGATTGAAAAAGAGAAAAATCTCGTGTTTGACTGATGAGTGTAAATTTTCAGAGTGATGCAGATAAGCACCAGGA